TTCATCGCTTGTAATAACTCTGAATCTGACAGTGATTGACTGTAGTTTTACATTTTACTTTCATCTCTTTCTTAATAAACTCAAAATCAAATTAAAAGTTTTTTATTCTGTAGGCTGCATAATAATATTGTCTATGTCCAGTATAGTGGACGTCTTGCGGCTGAGATGACGATAATGAAGTACAAAATCATAAACACCCAAAAATTTGGGTGTTTATGGGGTTTAAACCCAATAAACCCAAAACACCCGGTTTTTACCCACCAGACTTTAAACCCACCCAGGTGGATTGCCCATCTCTACCTATTAGCATTGCCACGACACAGAGAGCTCGTCGCTATTAATTATAGTTATTTATAATGGATGTAGGTAACTAGGTAGATAAATATAGTTTCGCGAATTGTCTTAACATAATGGAAAAGATCTTAGCGCCCAGTGCACACAGTTAAGGCAAACAATACAGTATCATAAAAAAGTATTAAATAAGTACCAATAACGGAAAGATAAATTGATGTACTCTAATAGAGTTCTAAAATTTAGAAGTATATTAGCTTTGTTAGCTTACTACAGTTTGCCTCTCCAGTTGGACACTACGATCACTTTACCAGCTGCCTTCGATGAATACTAATTATTCCAATAACAACTTTGAATTTTAAACAAAATGTTGATATACCAAAATTGGTAGAGATTGAGTAAAACAGTTATAGGTGTGGCCTCTACCCATGCACTTTATATAGGGCTCTAATTTAGTTTATTATAAATACTTCAATGTGGCGATAATAAAGTATCGATAGATTTGGTACAGAATGAATAATAATGTATAATAATAAGTTTATTTGCTATTCAAAATTTTGATTGTACTGTTTTATAAGATATAAGTGCCTATTGTTTTATTAATTGAGTTTGAATCCTACTAATAATAGTAATATTATAAATGTGAAACGGATAAACCGATTTGAACGAATATTTTATATTCGGAAATGACCATGTGTTAAGACTGTTTGTGGATAATATTTACTGTTATGGCTTCCAAAAATACTAACAGAATTTAAAAAAGATTTGCGTAAAATTATATAAATATGCAATAGAGGATTGATTCTCTTAGAGTAGTAATCTAATTTAAACCGGTTTCGTATGCATTCCTGAAGGGACTGCATCATTCAAGTACTTTCACTTCCTTACATAAGGTCCTCCATAAAAAATGTAATTCGTTCAAAACTTACTGTATTTTTCAGGGTGTAGTAATGTTCTTTAGTTGTTGAAGTTTTTACAAATGTTGACATATATGTTGATAAAACAAAAAGTCATAAAATGTAATCACCATCAGTTCTCCTAATAAGGATCAAGCGTGTTATTATTTCATATTATAAGATTTTTTTGTAGATTCGTATGTTCTTAATTATATTTCTGAAATTGTCCTTGCTAAAAAAAGATGTACATAAAACATGCTGTTTCGTTTTATGATATTACACAGAAAAAAAAAATACTTTATCTCCGTTTTATCTATATAGTATGTAATATAAGATACATTTTGTAAACGCTATTTTTTCAAATGCTTTTGAAATCTTTCCTAACTATAATTTGCAGTGAATTAAAATAAGAAATAGTATTATATCCAAAGGTTATGTTTATATCTGTGTATCTAATTTTATTTAACATTATTCTGCTGTTATTATTGATATTTTTGTTTTAAAACATTTTTGTCGATCATGTATGAAGTTTTAGGTATATCCTGTAGCCGTATACCTATATCTATCTATACGTAGGTATAGGTATCTATCTATACCTATGTATAGATAGATACCTACCAGATTCACTCTTAATGAAACGGAAACTTATAGAAACGGGTTGCTGGTGGTTGTACTGTTACGCAAGTGACCGCTGCTGCACAGCTCGGGTGTCGTTTAGAACATAATCTGAGTCACGTACTGGCTGGGATTTGTTTTGAAATTAGAACGCCGAACGCGACAACAACGCCTTTTGTGGATTATCGCCACTGGTATTTTCTAATTATCAACTGGCGTTGGGAGGTTTCTGATGATTTATAGTAGCTATCTACAGAATAAATGAAACAATGCAAAGTGTACCTACCATATACATTACATTTAGATTATAATGTATGCATGTTCAGATCTTAAAGTTTATATCATAGCTTAGCATGATTGTAGAATTTCTTGTAAATGTTTAAATTTAAAAAGGATATCATAGTTCAAGCGAGTTAACAACTACAATTTGTAACATTTCTTTTTGTTTTAACATAACCTTAAATTGAATATATTTATGCTGTGCATATTACATCTGTGTGTATCACAGTATACATACGTGACGATATCTTTGGTGAACATTGAAACCTGTATCAAACATATAGGATTATTTAAATCAATCTATTTGTCTCGGGAAACCTTTGTTTTATAGGAGTTTCAATCTACTAGTCTATTTATTACAATTAATGTAGTACCCATACTTGTTTAAATAAATATAAAGTTTTTTTACGAAACTATTTTACATTATAGATAATACTATATCCTGCGGTTTCATCTATATAAATCAGTATATAAAGTATCCTATATGTTAAGACCTATCCGTGTATTAATTTATTCAAATCTGTTCATGTGTCTTTGCATAAAAGTGCAACAAATATCTGTCCAATAATATATCCTCTTAAACATTTGCACCTATAATACTAATAGTATAAATATACACACAAAATAACTATATATATATTTAGATACTTAATATATTCACATATGTAATAAAGATCTACTATTTGGGAGTAAAATATTCATATTAGGTAATGTAACTTTATAAGTTCTGGCCTCGTGCAGCAGTGTGTGTCAGCGAGGGCTGCATTCATTTCTGGTTTTTGTAATTCTGATGCCGTATATGGTATGCGCATGCGGCGCCGCACTACATAGGGCATGCCATAGATTAACGAACACCCGCAGAAATGTATAATATTTTATATTATACAAAATTTTCAAGATAAATAAATGACCCAAATACATGTTTTTTAAATCTCATACCTACCTACTTAGCAAATAATCCAAATACTTAATCAGTAGATATTATACGTAGTAGTTTTCTATTTTAGTACCATTAGGTGTGGTATGTACAAAATATTATTTCTTTCTTTCTTAGATAAGAAGACTATCGTTGTATCTACCTAATTATATACCAGTTCTTTTTATAGGTAATAAAATATAACAATAATCAAAATAACAAATTATATATTTTTTGTGGTGTATAAAAAGAATCTAATAAAATAAAATATTTAATTAAAACATACTAATGATTTGCACGAGATCTTAAGAACTTGCAGTATGTACTTTCGGAACAGCCCGAATATTAAATAGGTATTTAAGCAAAATATATAAACAGTTCTTACTGTAACGATTGGTACTGCTACATACTCGTATTCATCTATACTAGTCTATTATCATTTAATTACTACCGCTTATTAGCTGTGTTTATAAGTTCAACAATGAAAATCAAATTTCTTGATTCAATCAGATCAGATTCAGAAAATCAAGTTCTTTAATAAAAGTTCAAAATGACAATTTTATTAAAGAACCTAAATGTACTTCTGTCATGTAGGAAAGTTCTTTGAGCTTGAATTGGCAGACAGTGGAGGTCACTGTCAGAGGAAGGCGGCCGGAAGAAGGCTGTCTGAATGCAGACATATGGTGATCAAAGTCTACGGTCAGCTTTATTTTTATTTACACTTATATTATTATTATTACTACATTCTTCTCATAAACTTATGTTATTTTACCGACAGCTGTAGCATATTTATACTCGTACCATAAAATAATGTGGATTCAAATCTTGGAACTACATAATCCTACTTTAAATATAGAAAGGTATGCATATACATATAAATACCACATCCCTGTAGATATTACGTAAAGCTTTCTCAGCCAGCTGATGAACAATTATTTATTCCAAACGCGATTTTGGACTGTAAATTGTACAATATGGTGCGAAAGTTTGAATTTCGCAAATGTCTCTTACAGATATTTCTCATAGGTGAGATTTTAACTATTTGGTTGACAATTGTGACATTTTTAAGCGTTTCTAAAAATAGGAGGTTCTCGATTCGTTTGTTTTTTTGTGCGTGCTAGTGATATATTTGCCAGTTATGAAACATGCCATTGGAAATTGGTGTTTTTTATTCTGAGTATAGTGAGGAAACTGATCAATAATAAATTGCGCAGCAAAGTCTACTTGTTTACATTATCTATATTTGACACAAGAGGTGTAACGTATATCACAGTTATTTAGAATAGCAACGTGTGGATAGGTGCTATAGCAGTATTACTTTTTATTGTACTTGTTGATGTCAAAAATATTGTTTAAATCTATACACGATAACATTCTTTCTCCATTAGGTAGACCTTATAATAGGTTATAATTTGTTGCCAATTTCCATATTTCAAAAATATGCATGCTTATCTTCAGATTCAGGGAAGCGTGGTTTATTAGCCACAGGGTAGATCGAGGTCGAGCGGAAGGAATTTGTCGCGATGACGTCATTGTGAGATCAGCATCATCCCATAAACTGGACGTGCATGCACAAACGCCTGCAATAATATAGCCAATAATTATTTATGTTCTGCAATATTATAAACAAAACATGGATGAACTTAATTAATTATTAATTAATTAGATATTACAGAAATAATGTTATAATTAGATACGTACTTGCCACAAATTAGTGTCTAGATATTCTGTCTATCTAATGTTTATTTCGCATTGCGATTTATAATAATTATTTCTTTAAATTTATTTTTGTATTATATTTATATTTGCATATTTATATTTCCATAATATATTTGCTGATATTAAATCAAATCTGGCAAAAAAGCACAACTATACGGTTTGGAATAAGCAAAGCAAAATTGGAAACAAAAAAAAAAACCATTATAAGCTGCGTAAGGTTTTGCTGTGGCTGGCTAGCTACTTGGGGAAACCGACATTGAATCGATTTGTTTGCTTGTTGTTAGGTTAACGGCGGCAGCGCGGCAGAGCGTGCTGGTCTTCAAGCTGGCGACGCACTCATCCGAGTCAACAACACAGATGTGTACACACTGCGTCACCAAGAGGCACAGGACACCATCCGTGGTGCTGGTACCGCCCTTGAGCTGACTGTGCAACGGTAACATATTTTCATTAGTAATTTGATTTTATCTCACGGCTTTTCCAGTTTCAATTCAGCTAAAAAGTATGCTATATTTTAATTTAGGATATCCTCTTTCCATGTGCAAAGTTTCATTTTTTAAGCGTTTTATATGTGTGTGTGATTGAGTGATATCTTTACAAAGCTTTCATCTTTAGGAAATAATTAAGGTTATTACAAGATAATAAATAATTTTGATAACGACTTATTTAATTTTACTTTATTTATGTTATTACAATAGAAAATAAACATAGCATACCTATACCCTCTGCCTATATACATGAACAACACACCATGCACCGAGGTCCATATCTAGTTATGTAGTGCTTATGTTGTTGCTGTGGAATTTTTTTTTTGATGGATGAAAATGGTATGGCAACCCTGCCTGCGCTGGGATGGGATACGCTGGCGGAGCACCAGTGAAGGGTGATACATGAGAATGAAAACAGGCCAGTTAGCCCATCATGATGAATTCATCAGGAATTAACCATGATAGTTTCCAGGGAGATCCGCGAGGAGGTCGACCTGGTTGGGTATATTGCCAGCAATGGGATTCTCAGTCTTCACTACTAACAATCCCTTTCCCCCCTGTAGAATATATTGGGATCCGTTATGATAGGTCATACCTAAACTTATTTATAATTTGATGATAGTTATTAGGTATGTTATGTACGGATCACTTAGTTTTAAGCCAAATCTGTTATAAAGTCGTTTTATTTAAATCCTATATTTTTATCCGGTAGTATGCGTGAGTTTCGAAATTACGACAACAAATTACTTATCCCAGTTTTAGATGGCCTATTAAGATGAAATATACACTAGAAGTTTTAAGTCAGATCTTTCGAAATACAACTGTGAAACCCCATTCATTTTGGTGCAGTAGTTTTTGTATATTGGTATCACGAATTCCCCGTATTTTTTTTAATATCTCCTACGTACGAGTACTGACATTGTCAAGTTACATTTTTATCATATTAGCATACATAATATACATTTGAGAATTTAACTGAAATTTTAGTTAGAATAGATACTTGTATGTTCTTCAGAATCGACCAATTTGTGAAGTCACATGAATCATGTGCCACATACTATTTACATATCTCCTAGAAAGTTATATACATAAACTGTACCTAATTTCAACACTTAACTTTTAGATTCAATGAATTTCATGGCCAAAGTATAACCATTTTACAAATATTACTTCTGTCTCCTATTGGGGTAAGCAAAAAATAGTGGTCACCGAATGCACCCTTTCTTTCTTTTTATCCTTTAGTTCATAATACAATAACGTATGAATTGTTATTATGTAGTCATTACTCATGGAAGTCCCTAATAGATACACAAAACTCGAACACTATTTTGTATGTTAACAGGTTTACTACTGTGCAAAAGTGTATTACTAATTTTTGTGAAATAATAACATGATTACCATTTACTCTACGGATTATATATTGGTTTTTAGCGGCGGCAGCACTTGGCGCCCATCAGTGACCCCGACTGGCAGCCTGCCACGTCCCGGATCCAGGCCGTTGGGTGCGGCTCCTATACCCGTTACCAACACCTCGCTGAAGGCCACGCCGCAGCCATCCCGAGCCTTCGGCTCTGGACATAACAATGTCGCCAAACCCTTCGGCTATGTTAGTATTTCCCTGTATTATTCTCATACTAATTGTATCCTGTATGAATCAGTATATTAAACATCCTATGTTCTAAGTTAGAAAATAACGTACCCGTGTACCAAACTGCGTTCAAATCGATTCAGTACCTTTTTCGTAAAAGAGTATCAAACATCTATCCATCCCTATTAACTTTCGTATTTATAATATTAATTAGCTTTTACTCGCGACTTCGTCTGTGCAACCGGGATATGTTTACTGACCGAGATAAAAAGTAGCTTATATTCTTCTCTATCCCATATAGTACATCTATATCAAATTTCATAGTATTTGATTAAGCCGTTGAAGCGCTGTAAAGTAACAAACAAACTTACTTTCACCGTTATAACATTAGTAAAGATAGGATAAGAGGACGACGTAAGAGATCGGTTCTTTTATCTATATTATTATTTATTACTGCATACTATTATTTATTAGACATAAAAAACCAAGCGAACAACGGTGATAGCTAGTTCTCTGCCACGTTGGATTCTAATTTATTCGATGAAATATGAGCAAGTTGAATATTACGTTCACCACTGGAATTACACTATATAGTTGGAATCACTAGTTCACCATATTATATTAATATATAAAAAATTCCTGTCACGATGTTCGTTCACATTAATCTCTCCGAAACCCCTTACCGATTTAATGAAATTTTGTAAGTGTATATTGTTTGCTCACAACAAATAAATCCATTCTTTCTTTTTCATTTGTGAATTAATAAAATTTCAGATGAACGGCAGTGACTCAGTGAAGAGTATAGTGAACAAGCAATACAATACACCGGTGAATATGTACAGTGACAAAACAATCGCGGAGACCCTGTCTGCGCAGACCGAGGTGTTGGCTGGAGGTGTGCTTGGGTAAGTGGGACATCTTCGTAGTTACCAGTATATTTAATATTGTTATACACCTAATCTTTATATACAAGGTTCGGTAGTACTTAACATTACTGACATGTATTTGGCCTTGATTAGTAGATATGTATATAACTAGATGTCTGATTTGTGCTAAATGGAATGCTGCATCAATTCATACCTATATTAAAAAAAAAAACAGAAATCCTATTCGTAAATAGATACTTATCTTCATAAGAAAATGGAGATTATTAGGTATTAGTGATGACTCTAACAAATAATACATTGTACAAAGTGTCATGCTTCGCATTTTAAATGTGTCATAATGCACATTCAAATAAGTAAAAATATATCACATTATTTGCCTTACCTAGTTCAATTAAAAATATAAAGCATGTAGCATTACGTTCTCTTTTTTACAGTGTGAACTTCAAGAAAAATGAGAAAACATACGATGCAGAAAAGAGCGCTGTGTTTAAAGTGTTGCAAGAGGAGCAAAACGACCCTGAACCAGGTATGAAATATAACTGCCATAAAGAACAAGATACATATAATAATAATCAAATCCTTATATGCCACTTAAATTTTACCGTGCCCATAACGTGAAAACTACATATGTATAATATTCATACTGTAAATAGTCATCAGTTCATTACTAATGACCAATGTCGTCAAAGTGTATAACTTATTTAGGAAACTACATAAAACAAAATTAAAAATAGTTATTTTTTTTTCGAATCTGCTGTTTTCGTTTGTGGTAATGTAACTATTAAAGGAAACAAAGTTATTGGTCTTTAAATAATATTAAAAATTACTCTACTTCTTGACACAATGTATCTATAATGTTACTTGAAAATTATAAAATAAAAATAGCACACAATTATGACAATATTTTTTTTAAGTAAAGAAAAATATATTAGCTATAACCGTTAAAAAAATATTGAAATTGGCACATCTTAGTCGAAGTCACCCAGAGCGCGGCGTCTCCTGTTAGTGGTCTACGACACGTGCAGGCGCCTGTGACGCGCCCCGATGCCCCGGTGAACAATACCGGCGGCTTGCCACCCGGACAGAACATTTGTGAAGAGTGCGAACGACTTATCACGTAAGTCGGACGGAACGTCGAGTGCGGGGCGACACGGTGGCAGACGTCGTTTACGTGTTCAATTATGCAGATTCGGTTCGGTTAGGTCTTTCCAACTCACTCGATGGTGTCTATAAATCTTGGATCAATTGTAATCATCCCGGCATGACTGAGGCCCCTCGTCCCTCTGCCGAAAATCATTTCCCTACCGTCCTCATTTTCCCGTGTTAATCCACATTTGCGTGCGATATGTTTGTAAAATAACAACAAATTGCGGGCCAGCAGAGCCGTCTCACTTTTACTCACGAGCGAGCGTGGCGCGGGCGGGTACACCGTGCAGCCTGCACCGAACTCACCGGTCGCGGTCGCGCACGCCGCGCGTGGCGGGCACCCCGCGGCCCGCGTCGCCCCCGCGGCCCCCGCAGCCCCCGCGCGCCACCACCGGCACCCAGACGCCCGTGCCGGCCCCAGAGCCGCCGCAGCCTACAATCCCCGTGGGCTGCCACCAGGTGCTAGCTGACGGCAGCGTGGCGCTGGGTGCGCCCGCCGCTTCGCAGCCTCACCACGACTCGCTGCCGGTCATCAATGATACGCCCTATTGCTCCGACTGTAACCGCTACATTATGTAAGAGGCGACTCAGGAATGCCTAGACGTGTTTGCGACCGTGTCGACCTGTGCCTTAGTTCTATCGTGTAGTAGATTAAAACTATGTTCGATGTTTTACAAGTTTTGGCTTCTTAACTACTTATATACGTATATTTAGTATTCTAAAAGAAGCCACGACTATTAATTTTGTACAAGTATCACGTATAACAGTATGCTATTTGTAATTTTCGATGAATAAAAGTGCACGTGATATTTGTGCTTGACATAACGTTTCATTGTTACCATCAATTAATTGACTTCATCTCTCTATTAGTAGGTATGTTCGTAGATTAAGCGGAATGAAAATTAGAGACATAACTGTGTCATGTATTCCTTAAGCATGTCCTCACTTATAATGCACCATAGATGCGCACCCTTTCTCTCATCGCTTGGCAGGTTTGGTGGTTCAGCACGAGCAGTTTGGTAAGCATGCCTGTATATTAGAGTAGGCGCGCAAGAAATAAATATAATATGTCCACGAATCCCATGTATTTACGGTTCCTCGATATTATTAAAAATATAAGCATCCCACTTTATTCCATTTACATTTTTTTTTTCTATTTAAAGCGGTGTGTTCGTGCGCATCAAGGACAAGAACTTGCACGTGGAATGTTTCAAATGTTCTACATGTGGCACGTCACTTAAGAACCAGGGTTACTACAACTTGAATGGAAAATTATACTGCGACATACACGCCAAGCTCGTTGCTCGCCAGAATCCACCGGCTCCAAACCTAGAGCCCGTTACTGTACCACCGTAAGTTTAAATTTTAATAAATTAGTAATGTTACTCAAAGATCGATATAACACGAATGCATTTGATTTGTCAGTAAGTGGTGGTTTTAAAATAAGATATATCTTTATTTTGTTATTTTACTGTGATAGAAATAATAACTATCAAAGTAAAATATATACTGTTGTATATATAATGTACTGCTTTCATTCAAAATATTGGGACACGCTACGGCGTTTCTCAATATTTTCCAAATGATATCTGTAATTTCAAAACGCATAATATATTTATAATAAAACCATAACATCCCATTGATGTACCACTGCTGATTCTCCCCCCATTAAATATCTTTAATTTATGAGAAATGATCCTACGTATGCCGTAGTATAATAATACCTATATCCTATTTTTGTTTATCGATCAAAGGAAACGTTATAATGAGTATGGCTACACTGTGATAGTCAAAAAGTAAAATAATTAACTTTTTGCTGTGCTATAGTATAAAATTCTGTATTGATGTGAAAATCCGCTGGTGGTATGATTGATATACACACAATACGCAGCACAACAATTGGGATTTCGTTGTTTTCATTATCTATTCTCAGATCAGCTTCACTGGACAGGTTACAAGAAAAAGGAGGAGATATGAAAATGTTTGGTGTGATCAAAGTAAAAATGTGACAAACCTCTTGTAAGCTGTCGAATACCGGATACGAAATTATTATGATAGGTACACGATAAATGGCTAACTCTATAGTAACGAGAAAGTTAGTCGATCTCTGCTCTCGAGGTACACAGTTCATTTGTTCTCCAGTTGAAAAGCTGCATTTTTTCTCTCCTCCTTCCTCATCTCTGAATAGATCATTATAGATAGTATGTAGTCTGAACTCTTGAACTAGGTATTACACATAGACCAAAATTCTAAAAATGATGTAAATGATAAAAATAGAGATTTTATCTTTGCAGTGGTGGCCGTATCCCCACAAATACATATTCGACTCCACTACCACCATTGGCTACAAACAACTATATAAATGGATCATCGTCGCTGTTCAGCGTGAGTATCAATTATTTGTAGTTAGTAATACCTTTACCTATATGTTGTCATTCACTAGCTATTTTCTATGGTTTCGTCTACATGAAAAAATATATATATATATATATATATAGACTTCCCGTGTCCCAAATGTAATCGTTAGTAGTTTTTGTGTGAAAGACTATATCTCTGTCTACAATTTGTAGACAGGTAGCAAGTTTACTGTTCAAACAATTTAAAATTGCTTTATAAGAATAAATAGGATGTCTTTACCCTGTCACTCCCGTTACATGTAATAAAGTTGTGCTGTTTCATTCTTTCGATAAGGAATCGTTTGCTACGTTCAGAGCTCCTAGGGCATTTACGTATTTAAGTTTAATATTTTCTATCTGTAATAGAAAATATATTGTATTGTGATTTCTTGTGATTATAATATTCTTTGTTGGCACAGCCGAATAGTAACATCTCGGGTCCGAAACCTTTCGGTTCCTCTATCGGATCAGCGTACTCTCCGTCATTGTCGCCGCGATCTGCGCCGCTGTCGCCTGCGCGGCCTCTGGTGGCCCCCGCCCCCGCCTTGGCGCCTGCGCCTGCTCTGATTACCGCACCAGCGCCTGCGCCCTTCGCGCCTAGTAAGAGAGTCACTTTTGCTATCTAGAATAATTATATAGGTTTATCCTTTAATCTTAATGTCTTATTATAAGTATTTGGAATGACAATTGAGTAGACAGACCGGCTATAGAAATGGAGTTCATCCTCATCATCACAGTATACACTGTGACGTTCATGACTTCCCTCACGTGTTGCCATTCCTGAGGAATAGTATTATGGTATATGTGTGAAGTGGTGTGATATAATTAATAATTAGTTATAAGCTAATAGTTGTTACGTAAGTATTAATATTGTTATTGCATAAAGTTATATAAGAAAGACAGTTTTTAATATCTACCTCTAATAATTATATCATAAAGTGTTTAAAAATATACTATAAGTTATATAAATTGATTCAATTAAAATACGTAATTAAAATACGGCCTATAAGATTAGAATTAAATGCAGAAAACATAATTCATCATTATTATTATTATTCATTCATATCAACCGTTATCGATGTCATGGTACATTTTTAAACACCGTGATAAAAAAATTAGACAAGAGCATGTAGGGTATCTTTAATAGAGTTGCATAGCTGTTTTAAGTAATTAAATAAATATAAACTATAGGACAAAAACTAATTAGTTTTATCATCATTATATATAAGCCGATAGTTTTATCTAGTACCTGCAATAATAACAACAGGTATAACGTAGATACCGTGTGTGGATAATTATTTAAAAATGTTATTAAAACTTTTATATGTATAAATAATTAGATGTTTATATAAGAACTTCTTGGACACACTGGTTAGACATTTATTGTTTATATTAGATATATATTTTATTAAAATTGGCATAAGTATGACATTATTTGGTGTAAAATATTTAAACTATTATTTATTTTCAACAGAGGCCCCAGTATCTCTTTTTAAAGGTAATTTCTAAATTAGGAATAAATACGCGCAGAACAGCTTATCGCAGCTAATAGTCATAATTTAGAAATGTGCAATTCTAATTCTATCTACAAAAATTATATAAATATATTTTTATATGCTACGCGGGCCAGCAATATCAATCACAGCATTAAAACCACTATTACCCTGATGCCGAATATCTGTCGAAACATGCGTCATGTATAACGCAACCAATCTATACTTCTACAGATATTTAACATTCTTGCTTTTTTAAATTGTGTGCTGTTAGAAATCTAGTAAGCTTACATTTTACGTTACACACTTAGCTTCTTTCAGTATTCTAATTTAATTTCATCTATTTTTTTCCACCCATTTACAACCTTGACAACCATTACAATACTAATAGCTCAAAATGTGAAAAGCATAGTGTGGCCCCCATCAAATCCCCCTACAGACGAAATGCCCCAACTCGATAGCAGAGAATCAAAATCAACAATTGTCGTCGATGAAAGTACTGTACATACTATGCAAAAAGAGAAACAACTAGAAAAAAGTAATACCAAATCTCAAGAAGATTACATCAATCAAAAGGATGCACAACAAATATTGTCGTCTTCTAAACAATGCTCTGAAATCTCTTCCAGTGTATCTTATGCGTCCGCAACTTTATCAACGGCTACAACTACATCATCGCAGTCACAGTCATTAATTCAAAGTAAACAATCAAACGAAATTCATAAAAGTACCAGCTGTGTCGTACAATCTTTCTCGGAAAAAACGTCCTCCGAGAAGCAAAGTTTGAATATTTATCAATCAAAAACAAGTCCTCCAGTTGAAAAATTAAATGATAGTACTTTGGAAAACATAAGTGAATTCGTTCAGAAGACAGAAAAAGCAGAACATGCTGAAGTCGAAGCTATAGAAAAATCAGAAATACTTATTACAAAACAATCAGAAGTAGATTTTCACAACAATGACTCTAACGTTCCAGAAAAAAAATTAGAAGTAATATCAAATGCAACTAAAATACAACATAATAATTCAGACGAAAATAAACAAACGCCCTCAAAGAATATTGAAAATGAAGAACTTATTCAGAAATCTAATAATGATGAGTTATCTTATCAAAATATGTCTACAATATCAATTTCTGATAAAAAAAATGAAATTAGTGACACTGTTGTTACTTCAATAAAATCACCCACACACAGTACTATAGAGAGTTCAGGTCCAATAAGGTCTATGAGGGATGCTTTAACGACTGCACCAGATCGTCCTTATTCACCTTTGCCGTCTTCACAACCTATAAATCCCAATACTCAGATAAGTAATGAACTTGAAATTGAAACTTCAGTTAATAAAATTCCAGAAATATCGAATGTATCATTACAACCAACCTCACAACCATCGCCAATATTTGTTCAACAATCTAACCGGGGTATTTCACCTATTCCACCAATTAAAACATACACTCCACCAGATACAAAACAAGTTCCAATACCAATGCCTGAAGAAACTAAACCATATATTCCACCAGATTTTAAAATTAATATTGAGCCAAAAGTGCCACGGGAAGAGACATCATCTCCAATGGTAGAAGCATTAACAACAGCTCCGAGTCGATCATTTACTCCTGTACAAATTCCAATAATACAAAGAGGCTCTTTAAGAGACGCACTTACAATTGCTCCAGATCAACCTTATAATTCTCTCAGTATAAAAAACCAATCAACTAGTTTCACATCTACGTCATCTACAATACAATCTACAACATCAGATATATTAAAACCGATTGCGACACAATCATCGAATAGTCAGACTCTTTCAGAATTTTCAAATTCTATACAAAATACATGTCAATTGCAAACATCAACTAATATGTCCGCATTTAGGCCAGTTGCAAAACAAGTTTTCCCTCCACTACAACCCGAAGAATTCTGTCAACTTTCCAATTTTCCACCTATTAGTGATGACCTAAAATCCAGTTTTCAACAATCCGTTCATTCAAAACAGGAAACTATGATATCCGAAACTATGCAACACTCTGCTATTACAACAAGTAGCATTAGTACTCAAGGTTTCTCGTCAATAAAAAATGCTCAAAGCTATTTTGAGCAATTGAATCAAAAGGAATCATTATCATCAACAAATATAAGATCAAAATCTGGTTTACATAAAGCAGACGATATCCCATCTTATCAGAGAAACTTTGAGAAATTGCCTTCTCAAAGAGGAATTACTCCAGAAATATGTACTGCACCAGCAATCCCTCAAAGACCTGTCACCCCATTAACCGATGCGCCCAACAAGTTGAGGGAGAAATCCCAAGAACCCAAACAAATAACAAGCATCGTATCACCTCAACCACAAATTCCTAAATATCATCAATTAAGAACACCCGTTCAACAAACTCCTAATCAATTCCATAAAGACACTCCTATTAGTATGACTTTCCAACCTGTGACAGATGAAAATCTGTTGAGAATATCCCCTGCACGAAGTCGACCCACTACACCTAGTTTGATAAATAAACCAGCTCCTATAATACCTCATTACCAAATGAATTTGGTAACAGTGGAATACTCCGCACCGGAAAGTCATTTATATGAGCCGTCGAGCCGTGAAGCAAGTCGTTCTCCGACACCAAAACCAAGATCTCGTTCTCCAGCACATGGACCTCCACCAAATCCTTTAAAAGCCCAAGCACCGCGACTTAAAGAAACTACACCACAACGCCATTCAGCACATTCCCTTTTGACACAAGCCACTTCAAATTTACGAAAAGAAAATGAATTGACCCAAAAAGAGATTAAAAGATATACAGATACGTCAAATCCAACTCAAACTTGGGCAAATGATCAACCGTCAATAACTAAGGAAGAGAAGTATTCAAATTTTGGGTACAACAGTGAACATTATAATAAGGGGGATTTCAATATAAAAGAAGATTCAATGCTCAATCAAAACTATGGACAAAAACACACACAATCGCATAATGTATCAGAATATGGAAATAAGACAGTACAGACGACAAGAAAAACTTTCGAAGAATTTGAAAGGACACAATCTGCTAAAGTTATAGAAATACGAAAAGGGGCCTCGTCTTCATCAGAAATGCATCAACAGATTGAATCTAACATTCGCCCATCTAATGTTAAACAAGTTTTTCCACCACCTGTCATGAGTATACCAACGATCCAACAGAACTCATCTGCTAACCTTACTAATGAAAGTGTCGTAACTGCAAGTAGATCAATAGAAAATTACCAGCCAAAGCCTTCGATTTCTGGTGCTAACCAAGGTCCAGTGTGTGATCCTACCCCGTCAACAGGTTCCAGTGTAGGAGCTGCTGCCCGTGGCAAAACTTTTGGTGTATCCTCTGCTCCAAAACGAGGAAGGGGAATTTTGAATAAAGCAGCGGTACCTGGCTCTCGGGTGCCCCTTTGCGCTTCCTGCAATGGGAATATTAGGTGATTCGTTTACATAGGCAAAATCGTGTTTTGTGTTTATGTCGTTTTGCACACTGCATGAAAGAAAAAAAATAGGTAGTGATAGAAATAACTATTGAGCTTGGATGTTTATAAATTCAGATAATTATATTACTAATTTTTTTTTTTCACTTACAATGCGTGTAATATTAACAATAAGATTAACGATTTAACTTTTGTTTGATTTATTAATTTTGTTTTCTACCAGTTAACGAAACGCAGAGTATCAACAATACACATAGAACAGAATTCAAAAGTCCTGCAGAAGAAAGGCTTATTAGAAAAATGGCGAAAATGGCGTTAAATGGTTATGAAATCGGCATACAGAGAAAAATAAAGCCAGCTGATCATATTCAATCAATGGCAGATAAAATACAGGATACTGTGGTAACAAAACATCCATTAAATGCAGACAGTTCTTCGGGTGAAAACAGCTGTGAGAATACTTTAAAACAGCCCCTAAATAAATTGTTTGAAAAAGGTTATAAAACGCAAGACAATATTCAACAAATAGGTGATAAAATAAAAGAAACTATTATGAGTAATCATCCAACAGCTATTAATTTTGCGAATGGTAATGTGCCTCCACCGCCACCGATTCCTAATACTCCAGTGCCATCAATTAATGCTCAGAGTACACCGATTGGATATAACAGTATAAAAAAACCAACAAATATCGAACCAAAAAATCTTAATACTAGTTTTGTAATGGATACTAGTGGCACTGGTAAATCACTGAATAATAGCAGATGTTCAAGTACTGAGGATTTATCTCTTAAAAATAAAACAGACAATTATTACTCAAATACGTTGCGCAAAAAGGAAGCTTTTGAGAAATCGGCTTTCTTGAACGGTATGAATTCATCAAATAATGACATGTTTAAAACGGAACTAAAATTAGATAATAATTATTCGAATACCTTAAACAAAAAGAAAATATTTGAAACAAAAGATACACAAAATTCTATTAATACCATGGAAAATCCCAATAAATGTCATGAAAAAAGTCATAGTAGCCTTTCCGAAATAAATACATCAAACAAAACGAATCTTTATGAAAAATCCTGTGAAAATGGAAAGCCACGCCAAAATCAAGAAAATATAGTAACGCCAGGTTCGTCTAAAAAATTACATGATAATACATTATATATTTACAAAACCTCAGATTCTGATGCTAATTCTAGTGAGTCCAAAAATAACACTCAAAATTTGGACCATGACATTGAACACCAGCTTAATGCATCTAACAGTGATAGAAATCAAGAAAATACAGAGAATGAGACGATCGTGAGACGAAGAGAAAAAAGAAATCCTAAAAATGACGATGGTAGAAGAGATTCTCATATTGTCGCACGACCGTTAAGTACCATGACTTCCACGGATGTCGCAGATGGACTCTACCCTGTATGCCATAAATGTGACAAGGCTATAACAAGGTAATGTACTTTTATTAACTAATCTAAAATCAAGTAAGTAAAAAGAACAGAAAGCATGCTTTATTTACAGCATGAATGTTGTTTTTTTTTCCTTTTAACACACTAATCAGTTCGTGACGATCTCAAAATATTTACATACCTACAAAATAACCTATATATTATATTATACGAGATATTAATTACTTTTTTTTTTTTACAAACAGAGGACCATTTATAACGGCTTTGGGGCGTATTTGGTGTCCTGAGCATTTCGTTTGCGTGAATGCTACATGCCGACGTCATCTGCAAGATATTGGTTTTGTTGAGGAGAATGGTCAACTTTATTGTGAATACTGTTTCGAACAATACATCGCACCGGCATGTGATAAATGTCACGCCAAAATTAAGGGTGTACGTAAAATTATATAGATAAAAGTTTATATTTAAATTCGAATGTAGAGTAAACTACATTTTCTTTTATTACAGGATTGTCTAAATGCTATTGGGAAACATTTCCATCCAGAATGTTTCAATTGCGTCTATTGTGGAAAATTATTTGGTAACAATCCGTTCTTCTTAGAAGATGGATTGCCTTATTGTGAAGCAGGTAAAGTATAAAAAAATCAATTTTCATTTATGGTTTATCCTACAAGAATTAAGAAATAATAATCGGGTATGTTTACTTTTAGATTGGAATGAGCTGTTTACAACTAAATGTTTCGCCTGCGGGTTCCCTGTGGAGGCAGGCGACAGGTGGGTCGAGGCGCTCAACAATAACTACCACAGTCAGTGCTTCAACTGCACGGTGCGTATGATGCGAGCCCTACTAAATATCGATATTTATCACACAATTTCAAAATCATCTGACTATTTTAGGCAAATAATCTAAAATTAAACTCTAATACAATTGAAACATGAAATGGTCAAAACCTAAGCTTGCCTAATGTTAGTCAATCTTAATAACCTTATATAATTATTGTGCAATTATTTCCTTTCATTGATAATTTGGTAAATAAATCGTCTTCCTAACATTTTAAGGTCATGGTATTTCAGTAACATCATCGCAAAATAATCCTTCAATATTGAATTTAAATACAAAAATTCAACACTGTTGTTCACATGGTTAAATTCTGAAAATAATAAGTAATATATAATTTATGGAAGATAATGATTTCAAACAGTTTTTTATATATTGCATTGATCCACAAATTTTATTATATTACATTAGTACGAAGCTCGTCATACGCTGCCAACGACCGTGTTAAAATATTAACAAAAATATTAGTGTGTGTGCCCCCCAAGTGTGTTCCATATAAATGAATTAATATTAACGATAATATACCCACAATACTCGTACATAAACTTCCAGAGGTTCAGGAAGCTTAATTAATATTAATTTATAATTATTTATATATATATTAAATATAAAAATATGTATATACATTTGTATCCCAGACTATGGAAATAAAATTATGCTTGTAGAAACTGCTTTTGATTGACGTAAAGTTATGAGTTTGACTGATATTAAATAAAATTGTTTTGGCTATTTTATGTATAGTTATAATTAGAAATAGTGTTATTATTAGAAATAATATATTTTTTTTACATATAACCATTTGAATAAATCTTATATTGCTAGTAGAAGTTATGATTTATTATTAATTTTTGCCTTGGTAATTATAGTGTTTAAAGTAATCTAGTAGAAAAAACATTTAAACTTTTTTTCTTGTACTACATTATGTATTACATATAGGTGTCACGGAAAGTGTTTTAATATCTGCAATTCAGTTATAGTAATATGGAACAAATTAAAAAAAAAAAAGAGGCGCAATATTAAATAATTTTCGAATCTTTCATACTGGATATTAGTACCAAATAACATCTATTTAAACTGGAAAAATTATCGAACTGAATTATATTTTGGGACTATCTTATATTTTGGAACTACATTATTAGTGGTCACGTTCACATAAGGCGAATATATTTATATTTTACAATTAATATATAACGTGTGTTTATTAAACTTATAACAATGAAACATTAATTATTTAGCATGTTATAATTTATAAGGTATCGATTTTATAACAATAAATAAACTGTGTGTGTTATGTGTTGGACCACTATTTTATTCCGGCCTTTGAAATTTCCTGGGAAAAGTTATATAAGTACTATCACTGAAATTCGGATTATTATACTCTTTCTTTGAGACTTTGTATGTAATACTGATATCATTACAGAAATGAAAATTTATTTAAAATATTTACAGGTGTGCAAAAAGAACCTCGAAGGACAGAGTTTCTTCGCCAAGGGAGGTAGACCTTTCTGTAAAACTCACGCCCGCTAGAAGTCCACATCATATTATGTACAACTCGGACACTGTTTACTCCACTACTACTTTCCGTCCTGTTTCTCCTTCTCCTGTGGTATTCGAACCAGTCGAAACACCTTCTCCACAAAGAACAAGAAAGTTGGAAACACCCCTCCACTTTGATGGAGGATTGTTTTCCGATATAAAGAGTAAAGATGGCAAGCTACTGAGCACTGTTACCGTCGATCGAGTTCATAGCTCGACGCGTCGTGATGTCACAGACTCGCCTAACTCGTATCAGAACATCGCATCAAATGGAACAAGGGACTATGTAGACGATATTATCAAAACAGAGACAATCACAAATCAAGATGTTATCAAAGTTAAATTTACTCCAGTACCACAAGAATTGGACTCTCCACGTTTGCTAACACCTTCACAGTTTCAAACAAATCGTACCACAACGCCTATAAATTACATTAAGGATAATTATGAAGACTTACAAAGTTACAAAATTGTTAATTCTCTATGTATGGAAAAGGACCTAGATGCTGAGGTATCGAGTAGTATTAAGAGTGTAGATAACTTAACAGTTACTAAACCTCACAAGAGGGCATTCAGTCCACTGGCGAACATAGAAATATCTGAACAATTAACAAAGATAGACAGTTATTTGCAAGATAGTTTGAATGTATGCACCATTAGCGAAACTATGGGCCATACTACTCCTGTGCTAAGGCTTACGCCCGTGTCAATACAGACAGAGGGAGAAACAGAAAGGTCTGAAACAAAAAGTAATTATCATAAAGAAAATCAGTATTTCGTAGAGAAATGTGTAAGTAATATTTCTAACAGTTACCATGAGGTAGAGAACAAAGAAGGTAATCAAAAAGAATATACACCACAACTGGACCTAGTACAAGATAAGCGTCAAGTTCTCACTGATTCTACTGATGTTGGAAATATTACAGAAAATATATCAAAATCACACAGTGTCAATAAAAAACATCAGGGAGTTTTTAGTGCTGTCTATAATATGCCGATACATTATCATGCAGCAATTTTATGTTTTATATTAATTGTATATAATCTTATTTATCAGTATATTAAGCAAAATTGCCTTAATAATAACAGTAAATAAATTAATTACTTATGGTATTTCATATACCTACGTATATCTGTTTTAAAAACACGAGAAATAAAAAAATCGTGAATTTTATGTACTATAACGAACTAGTCATTGGTTGGGATATAATGAATATGACACAATAATAATAAATAATGTATTGATGTTGTGGGAGATCGTATGTTAAAATAAAAGAAGATGTAAATAGTCACAGGTAACAAATTCCTCTATTGTCGTTTGTGTATCAATAATATTTTTATATTAACCATTTGGTGCTTTTCAATACAGTAAAATGCTCGCAATATTGTGATATTTTACAGTTTCCTCTAATTTAAATTTAAGGCTTTGTATACAGCTTCCGGAATGTTGCAGTAAACTGTTACTAACATTAACAGTAGTTATTAATTCAAATTGGAAGAAAGTAAATGTTGTTGTCCATGGGGGACATAAGAAAGTAATTGGTGCACCAAGTCTAAAAAATGTATTCTGTTTAATGATGTAACCTCTTATATCAAATAGTATAACATTTTTTATAACAATTATATATATTTAATTTGTTATGAACCATTCAATGTATTATTTTTAGGGACTTATTTATACTTTTTAATACTGAGATAAGATGATGAAAAAAATATTGTTCCGACTCCCTATATTCTGTTGGTAATAAATTAAGAATCATACATTTATAAACTATTTATTTAGTCTTACGTACTCTATAGTTTATACACACTTAAAAATGTGAGCTTAAATAAAAATATTTTATTTTCTAATATTGTTTCATTTTAATAATTAATAAATTATTATTAGTATGACTTATACTATAAAATTATTTATTACTAGTCGTTTCTCGCTTTATGTAATTCCCGTATATCATTCCCATTGAAACTCTTCATGAATCTGGTCTTATATACTTAAATGATAATTACATACCTAATCTACACTAATATTATAAAGAGGAAAGATTTGTATTTTTGTGTATGTATGTTTGTAATGAATAAACTCAAAAACTACTCTGCTGATTTCAACAATTTTTTCACCATTAGAAAGCTACATTCACCCTGAGTAACATAGGCTATATTTATTGCTAGAAAAGATTAGGGATCCTTACTGAAACTTTAGTAACGTAACTTGAGGTGTAGAAAAATACTATAAAGTATCTTTCGTCGCGTGCGTTGCGGAAACTTTTTTTTTTATACAACTTAGAATGGCAAACAAGCTGACGGCCCATCTGATGGAAAGTGGTAACCGTCGCCTATAGACATGAGCAGTACCATGGGCATAATAGAGTATACTGTTTCACCCATGATACCCCCCATGCGTTGCCATTCCTGAGGACTCGGGTGTTATTCCTCTGTACCCAGTAAATTCACGCCATATCCCACCCTTTAAACCGAAACACAGTTATGCAAACACAACTGCTTCACGGTTGAAACACGAATGGGACAGAGGTACCCACGCAATCGACTTTTGTACAAAGTCTCCCTCTGGTGTCTATTGGTGATAGAACAAAATATATTCTACAATACTATACTTTGCGACACTATATGTCCAACTATTATCGTTATGTCACAATAACCACTTTTAACATTTTAAAAGTTGATAGAAATACCGGCCAAAATTACACCATGTTATTTATACTTCTGTTTAAATTCTTATCCAAATAAATCATATCGTTTTCAAAACTGTTTCAAATTATATACATTTTGAATTATTCAAATCGGCTATTCCATTCAATAGATACAAATCTAATAAGTCATAGAAATAGAAAAAATAACGCTGTCGCGTTATATATGTCATTCATACCTATTTATTAATCCTTATCGAAATAAATTATTTTGTATTCCAAATTGTTTCAATACCTGCAGATTATTTTTGAATTTTTCAAATTGTAGGAATATTCCATTCGAAAGATATGTTAAAAAATATTTTTAGATAGTTCCAGTTCCAGGGCACGTCTCTTAACATCTCTAAAAGCATTGGGATCCTTGGTGTCGACATCTTTAGTGACGTACAGTTCCGTGGCCACCTCGAAGATAAGGTGAAGCTGGCATCCAAAAAACTCTGTGTGCTTAATTAAGCATTCGAAACATTACTTCACGCCGGATCAGCGATTAATGCTTTACAAATCGCAAATCCGGCCCCATATGGAGTATTGCTGTCACTTATGGGCGGGAGCACCTAAATACCAGCTTGAACCCTTTGACTCAGTGCAACGACGAGCTATGAGAATTAACGATGATCCCAGGCTTGCAAGCGGTATCGAACCCTTAAGTCTTAGGAGAGATTTTGCCTCACTCTGCGTGTTCTACCGCTTATACAACAGATTGTGCTCAGAGGAATTATTCAATATGATGCCTACGGCCACTTTCTATCAGCGTACGGCTCGCCATCGACAGGGAGTTCACCCTCATACCTTACAGCCTAAATGGTCGCGTACAACGCGGTTACAGAGATGTTTTCTCCCACGAACACTCAGGTTTTGGAATGAGCTCCCTGCCGAGGTTTTCCCAAGAGATTACAGCATGGGGTTCTTCAAAAGGGGGGTAAAGAGGTTTCTTCAATGTCGGCAACGCGCACATAATACCTTTGGTAAATAAGGCGTTCATAGGCTACGGTAACCACTTACCATCAGGTGGGCTGTATGTTTGTTTGCCACCTCAGTGGTATAAAAAAAAGATAGAAAAGAATAAAATATCCATCATCTGCACAGGTTTTAAAACGTGAAATGAAATTTCACGAAAATGAAAGAAAAATTTTGTAAATTCTATGATTTATTAACACTTATGAGAAGATTATCCTATGGTTATATTAAGACAGTAGATACTATGCTTAATCTATATTAAGGATAGTATCTACTGTCTTAATATAACCCTCGCAAGTATTAGCAGGTGCTCAACTTAGGTGTAAAGTTTTACATGGACATCTCTGAATACATATATGAGCCTTTTTAAGGGACCAGCCCCTCCTCCTCTCCTAAATAATCTTAAATATGACGATAATCTTATATACCAGCATCAATATTTTGAAAATCAATATTTATTATATTTTAACAAAAGCAGAAATTTTACTCGGCAGACGTTAGACGTACCCTACAAATGTAAAGGTTTAGAAAGATTCTTGGTACTCGATCATGATTAAATAGTTAATTAACTAATTTGTGTAAAATTTGGTACTCAGATCATTACATATAATAAATTCGTTACTAGTCGCTGTTTGTAGATGGAAAAAATATAACAAAAACTATTATAGGGAAGCAATGAATTATGAATGCAATAGAAACCAATGATATTTAGAATTTTTGTCTGTACGTTTGTGCACGTTAATCTTAGAAACGATTTGAATACGATTTTCACTAATGCCTTGAGACCAATCTAATGCCTTGCCATTTAACATTTAGTGTTTCTTTTACTTTTATTGGTTCATAAATAAAGTAAGTTATATCAATCTACATAGAAGGAACCACTTATAAAATACTATAAAATAACCGATCAGTTGAATCTTTACTACTACGGTACTAGGTGTTTCCCGCGGCCTTGCCTGCTTCTAAGTATTTACTTCCATTAATTCTTATCATTCCTATTGGAACTCTCCATGAATCCGGTCTAATATGGCATTAGGTATAAACTTAAATAATAATTACGTACCTGATACAGATAGGGGACTTCAACGTTAAACTAGGCACAAGGAAAGACGATAATGGGGAACTACGGTATCGGGCAAGGAATCCTAGGGAACAGCAGTTGGCTGTCTTCATAGAGGAAGGACTTCATCATGACGATTAATCGCCATTTATTCAATGTCTTAGTGATCAATAGATTTAAAATGGAAAATGATCACCAAATGATAAAAGGTAGATTGCACCTGAATATTAGGCTTGAAAAGTATAATCTGATGAACTCAATGGTCCAGCCTTCGTATACCCTTATCAAAAACCCTGAGAATTTTCAACTCGAATCGACAAATCAAAGTGTTTTTAGCTTTACAGGCAAATTCAGTGTACAACGACCCATCACTAGATAGAATGACGACCTCAAATGCATTCAAGAAAGTCAGTGGATGCATGTGGCTCAGGACTGTTCTTTATGGCAGTCCATGCGGGAGGCCAATGTCAAGCAGTGGATGGATAATGGCTGCATTGATAACATTGAATAGATGATGAAGTTGCAATATTCAAATAATTAGTAAGTAATAATGAGGATAAATATTTTAAATACACTATTGGGACTTAATGTGATGAAATTTTATTTGTAGCACATTAATAGTACATGTTAAGTCCCAACAGTGTATTTAATATATGTGTCAAAAATGTGAGAATTTAAAACTAATGAAGATAAAATTTTAAAATATTCCAAATCTGTCATATAAGCATTTATTATTTTTTAAATAAAAACCTACTAGCTGTTACATTTCAATAATTTAATTTTTTTTCTAATTGTTTAAGAATATTTGTATTAATATAATATCTAAATATAAACAAAAGTCAAAAGCTCATACATCTTAATTTATACTGGAATTATTGACAACATCAAATATTTCTTCCTCAGATCCAGTATGCTCTTCACCAAAAAAGAATTTTGATATTCTGAAATAAAATTCAATAAATAAGAGGAATGAAGAAAAGAAAATAAAATCCTACATCATTAGCTACAAACAAAGAATTATGAATCAGTCTATTTTAGTTAAAATTTAATAATTAATAATATAGGTGATAAATAAATATTTATTATAATGAATCTCAATACAACAACAGGCATTGGTAAGACTGAAAAAATTGCAAAATCTAAGTTTATCCTAAATGCTGAGAGGCAGGCTCAAACAGTGTACCTGCAATGTAAAGTGACTTGTCAATAGATGGAATGACTACCTATCTCAAATGTGTTTATATCAAATCAATTTAATTTTTCTGTAACTTTATTATAGATGTGCGCAGGTAGTTAAAAAACAAAGTGGAAATAATAAATTGAGTTCAGACTGTTGTTTAAAATAATTATTTAATTGTAACCTACTATTCAAATTTTAGTCTTAGAGATAGATACTTCATTATTAACAACTATTAAACTAAATAGATCCATGCAGGAGGGAAGAGATCATTGGTAATGGTGAGATGAATCCATAATGTGCAGATCAATCTCCATGCCATCACCTTAGACACCATTGTGATTAATTACTGGCAATTCACCACAATGAGCCAACTGATCAGACGTCATGCTTGTTTATCATTACTCAATGGTACTTCATCAGCATATAATGATAATGCAGCCAGAGTTACCATTTCATTATTATACATGAAAAAAATAGACAGTTGCTACTTGCTAATAAATAATTAATAAAATCAACACATGTTATAGTACCGACCTTTTCCACTCAATTCCAAATCCAATGAAAGTAAATGTTAGGAATCCATGCCAAAGAGTAGTGACCATCGGTATTGGTTCTCTTTTATGACCAAAATTTTTAAATGTTCTCCTACTCACTAAATGTACAGTTCTTATTATTTGTAACATAGTGTCTTTTCATTAAAAATAATTATATTCTTATTAATATTACACAACGTCAACGTCTAAAATGTCTAATAATCATGGTATCTACTTCATTCGTTTTTATACATTTTCGCAATTTGTGATTTTATAAATAAATATTTTGTAGGAAGGATTCAGATAGAATTTTTAAATTCGTTTGTATGTTCTATAAATTTATTTTGATATGTGATTAAAAACTGCGAAAACCCTAAAAAAATAAAATAATCAATCCTGTTTCGACTACGACAGCTGACACATACATATGACAATGACAGTTAGCTAAAAAAATTTCAGTCAGCGTTGTCAAATGCGATAGGTAGTTCTTAACGACGTTCTTAAGTTCATGATTTTCTTTATTTTTATCGATTCACAAACTTTTCTTGGTTTTCTTTATGTTACACCATTTACATATAGTATAACGTATTTGCGTACTTTTTTTTGTTTTAATGGATGATAAAGAAATGGTCACCCCGCTTGCGCTATCAGTATATTCGTTGTTCTTAGGTATATACTGGCAGGGTACCACTGAAGGATGACAGGTGAGGATGAAGGAAGGCCAGTTTTTTTTTAATTTTGATAATGGAATGGTAATCCCGCCTGCGCGAACGGTATACACTGGCGTGGCACCAGTGAGGGATGATAGGTGAGAATGAAAAGACAGGTCAGTTAGCCAATCGTGATGAATATACTTGGAATTTAGCATGATGGTTTCCAGGGGAGACCACGGGGAGGTCGACCTGTTAGGGTATATTGCTAGCAATGGAAGTAGTAATCCGCATTACTAACAATCCCTTCCCTCTTGAAGGAAGCTCATTTATTAATACGATCCAGAAACAAAGCGCCAGTCGACGGTTTGGGTGTTCAAAACTAATCAACGCCTACCAAAGTAAAGCGACCTAGAAGCGGGGGGAAAATTTTGATCGTGAGTTTTTTCAATTTGACTGGCTACTTGGTGTCAATTCCTTTACGAAACCAGAGAAGCATTAACGCCAAATAGTATACCTCTACCAAATGCTTGGCAGAAGTTTTCTCTGTTGTGAGCAACAAGCGACCAAACACAGGGCTCCGCGGGCTACTACTCCACCACGATAATGCGCCCGCCCACACCATACTTTGAAAAGATCTAATAAAAATATATTTACTTATAGAACATTTTTTTTAGTGTCGCAAAACTTTCTGAGTGTCCCACGTATGTATATATGTGAGCAAGGAACAGTGCTGCATCATGCATATTCTATCGTTACATGATTTTTTGACACTGTAATCCAATTTCAAAACTTTCGAACAATTTTATTTAACAGTTATCGTTAACATCTTAAAAGTTTATCCAAAACCCCGACTTTTCAACGCGAATTGTCAAACCGCTTTCAATGCCTGGTGAACTGTGAAACAACGGACAATATCAACGATAAGCTAATGGAAACTGTCGGGAGAGAGGGGATTATTAGTGTAGCGTTAATAACTTTGGTGATATGAATATAAAATAAAAAATAAAAATTAGGTAAACACCTTTAACAAAAAATAAATTTATTACATATAACAAAAGTTACAAATTTATAAAAATGGTGGATATAAATGAAGGGCCCGTCACTGGCTGAGTCAACCTCTGTGCTGCCGAATGGCACTTCCTTTATCTGGATGTGTGTATATATATATATATATATATATATATATATATATATATATATATATATATATATATATATATATATATATATCAACATCTATTACCACTAAAAATTTTTTTTCCGTAGAAGTTTTATTTACCGATTTTAATAAATCGGTTCAGGTACTGTTTTAGGTCAAAATAACTGTTTTTTTTCAATCAAACTTATAAGACTTTGTAGGTCTTCTGTTTCGTCCTCCACGCGGTTCCTCATGGAAACAATCGTAATTAATTTTTGTGGAATTCGTCATGATGGGCTGACTGGCTTGCTTCCATCTTCACCTATTATCACTAACTAGTGCCCCGTTAGCACAGGCAGGTTTACTTTTTCATTTTCACCTCATAAAAAACACAATAGCAATAGATGAAGGGTATCATGGACGACACAGTATACTTTGTTATGTCCATAGTACTGGTTCATGACTATAGGCGATGGTTATTACTCCGTCAAATATGGAAGTATACCAGTAGTAGAAAGTTGAAAAGTAACTAGGGATCAAGTACGTTTTAGAGTTACGCCGCAATTAAGGATTTTTACGAATTCGTTAGAATAGTCTATATGATTTACAAATACCAATACTATTACTTACATAAATTTCTCCACAAATTTGCGAAAAAATACCCAATCTGGGAATACTGATTGCATTATATATTTGTTGCTGTCTATTTTTGATATTTAGCTATGAGCTACCTTTACTGCAGAAAAATTTCGGAACTAAAACTACTGTTAATAGTTTTATTTTTTATTTATCGCCTTTTGACTCGATTGTTGACGTAGCATACCATTTTATTTATGGGCGAAGAATATACTTTCATGGCAGTTTGTAAGGCGTGGGTGGTCGTGTACACGGCCGCATAGGATAGGTCACGCCTTCCTTTGCGTGGGTGTCCTAAAAGGCGACTATGGAGAAGCTAATGGTTGATGGATGGGCATACAGATGGGCAAAGCACCGGGTTTAAACCCGGTGCTTTGGTAAAAACCCAATAAACACCCATAAACTCCCATAATCACCCAAAAAAATAGGTTTTTACGTATTTTTTTGAAAATATGTAAGTAATACCAATAAATTATTTTTATAAATTGTATTGATCAATTCTACAATATTAAATAAAACGTTAACTAATAATATTTCAGGAAATTTTAAAAATCTATATATAATAAAATGAAAGTAATTAATTTTCAGTGTTTTCATGTTGCAGTTGATCAACATGTTGGCCTTTTGCTTCCCGTAGATACTTTAAAATTTCTTCATAACACCTCGTTCGCACACATGGCCGTATATATTTAAATTCTTGAGCCACTAACAGTCCGAAATACTCATTTCTTTTATCCTCTTCTCCATAAATTAAGCATTTAGAACAGTTTGTTTCTTCTTTCAGTAAATTTTCTTTTACTTTATCCTCGTTTTTTTCTTTGTTGCGACGACGCTGGGTAAATCATCTGGACACTGGGTCTCACTATCGCCAAATATATTTGGAGATCGGCTTCGGCTACGGCTTGGCAGACATTTTTTTCTTTCTACAATTTTAAATTAAATTTATTAGAATAAATGCTTCGAACACACGCGATCTAAGTACCTTTTGTGTTTATTATACCTTACCTACCTAGGTATAAAAAGAGTACTTACGTAGATTTTCTTTTATTAACTGTTTTATACGAAGATCTTGATCTCTCAAATTAGCATCCATTTTACTTCCAGTGATTATCAACTAAATTAATAATCCACAAAGTATTAAATAACGTTTTTATGAAATATTTAGCACAAAAACAATACCCTTTAAATATCGATCGTCAGTAACTGTGGCTGACTTACCTATATTCTAGCAAGCAGGACTGCCAGATGTGAAGGGGAAATCCCCAATAAATTGTTGCATGTGACTGATGATGTGAGCATGTTCGTTTCATAATAAAAATGTTGCCAGGTAACCAAAAAGTCGTATGTTTTTGTGCGAATTACGATCATAATCTTTACGATCGTACATTAAAAAATAGACAAATAATAGTATGAGTACGATTTAAATCGTATATCTGTCAACCCTGCTAGCAAGACAGCGACAAAATCACGTTGCATAACAATGTAGCCCAAGCTTATATCTTATGAAATATACGGAAGAGATACGGACTTAGAAAAAACAGAAATGTTGTTCTTTGTGGAAGTCATTGATGAAATTCTATGTATTTTAGCCCGCAAACTTTCTTCAAACAAAAACAGCGCCATCTAGTATCGAGTTCTGTAATTATCTCTTTGTTTATGGATTTGAAGTAAGACCGCCACGCATGCAATACATTATGACTGGGGATTCCCCTATTCGTCGACGCTGAATATGAGGCGACGACAATCACTGTCAAACGTGTTCACTATTACTCTGACTCTGGTAACGTGACTTCCTGGTAACGTGTTAGGTAGGAAAAGCAGTAAAAAAGTGCATATTAAGGGAGCAGATTTGAAATAATATTTATACTTAACAAGAAATAATTAAAGGTAAGTGGATTTTTGAATGATACAATTATATCATGATCACTTAACAATTTTAACTTAAAATTAGATGTATTATTACAAGCTTTTATTTAGCTTGCGTTATGTAAATAAAAGTATGTAGGTATGTTCGTATGTTGATGCAATTATCCTCAATCCTCAACCGACTGGGATAAAATTTTCCATACACGTTTATTTTGGATGATAGTGCATAGTTAGCTGAGAGTCGTCATTGGATAATAATGGTGGATAGCCTAAGATGTGTACTAGATATTTATTTTTAACATAATATGCGTAAGTACCTAATCGAATTAAAGAAGTTGCTGAGAAAAATACAGAACAATACGATAATAAACTAGCGTCTGCGTTTAATCCTCCGAGGAGATGTAATTTTACAAAGGTTTTTTGTATTTATTTTATTATTTTTTTAATAAATTTATTGTAAATAACAAGAAATAATCATTGTAAAAAAATAGGCACTCTATTGTTGAATTTTCGTCAGACCAACTAATCATCGTTCATTTTTTTAGGTTCAATGGGGAGACCTAAAGATTTACGCATATGGGAGCACTACCGTACTTTACCAAACAAGTCTGTTTCTTGCAAGCTTTGTAATAAGGTCTACAAATTCAGTAATGCTGCCAAAATGCTTCAACATCTTATCACTTGTCCAAAATCTCCAGAAACATTAAAAGACTCTATGAAACTTATAAAAGATAGCTCGTCCAAAACCAAAATGTCTGGACTGTCAGAGATAGAGACAAATGATTCTTTTATAAGCCCCTCGTCGTCTGCTAACACTACAATAAATGCTGAGTTTCAAGACACCGATGATCATATAAAAACAGAATTAGCGAGAGCTATATTTGTAACAGGGACGCCATTATCGATGGTGCAACATCCTTTATGGATACAATTTTTCGAAAAATTGCAACCAAAATTTAAAATACCTTCACGTAAAGCTTTAGCGACAAAATACTTAGATAAAATATATAGAGAAATGCGTTTTGAGTTAAATGAGGAACTAAATGCTTGTAGTTACTTACACCTTCAGTGCGATGGCTGGTCTAATTTAAGAAATGAAGGAATAATAAACTTTCTTATATCAAAACCTCAACCTGCATACGTTAAAAGTTTGAATACAGAAAGTAATCCTCACACTAGTGAATACCTTAGCCAAGAAGTTGAAAAAGTAATGAAAGTGTATGGAGCAAATAAGTTTCTTGTACTTATTGGCGATAACGCTAGAAATATACAAAAGGCATTCGAATTAACAAAACTCAAATATCCACATGTTGTTCCTCTCGGTTGCTGTGCACATATCCTTAACTTGTTGTGCCAAGATATTGTAAAGATACAAGAAGTAACTGTGTTTATTATGCAAGCCATAAATATAATAAAAACTGTTAAAAGGAGTCAACGATTAAGTTCCTTGTTGATAAAATCAAGGCAGGGTGAAGATTCTACACAAACACTAAAATTGCCTTGTGCTACAAGATGGGGAAGTCATGTTACTTCGTTAAAAAGTTTGAAAGCAAATAAGATAGCTTTGCAAATATTAACAGTTAGAGAAGATGTGGTAATTTCAAGAGATATTAAAGATTTAATTCTAAGTGATGATTTCTGGACGAAGACAGGGGAATGTATAAGTATTTTGGAACCAGTCACTGAAAGCATATTTTACTTAGAGAGCGACCAGAATCGTTTGCATCGCACATACATTACATTTAGAGATGTACAAGCTAAGATACGTTTTGCATTAAATGAGATTTCGACATTGAGCGAAGAAAGCAAACAGCAGATTCTAACATCAGTATCTTCAAGATGCAATATGGCAATGAGGCCAATACATTTTGCAGCATATATTCTAGACCCCAGGACTCTAGGAGTCGAACTTACTCAAGAGGAAGAACTTAAGGGTATGGAGTTTATCTACAATTTAAGCCAACACTTAAGTTTGTCAAATGTAATGGCAGATTTGGCGTGTTATAAAGCTAAAGAAAACTTTTGGGCCAGAGGATTTGTATGGAGCTCATTAGATAGCATTGAGCCCCTAATATGGTGGAAAGGTATTTGTGGTTCCACTGAGTTAAGCAAAGTAGCGATTCGTATTCTATCAGCTCCCTGTACTTCGGCAGCCACTGAGCGTTCCTTTAGTATCCAAGGCTACATACATAATAACAAAAGAAATCGACTTACAACTGAAAGAACTGAAAAAATTTCATTCATTTGTTATAACTGGAATCTTAAACATAAAGCTGAATGCGAGGACATTCAGTTTAATGAAGAAAATACCTTAGAAGCTTTCATTGAGCAAGTAAATGAACATAACAGTTTAGACGAAATAGAGCCTATCGAACCTATACAATTCATCGCTTGTAATAACTCTGAATCTGACAGTGATTGACTGTAGTTTTATATTTTACTTTCATCTCTTTCTTAATAAACTCAAAATCAAATTAAAAGTTTTTTATTCTGTAGGCTGCATAATAATATTGTCTATGTCCAGTATAGTGGACGTCTTGCGGCTGAGATGACGATGATGAAGTACAAAATCATAAACACCCAAAAATTTGGGTGTTTATGGGGTTTAAACCCAATAAACCCAAAACACCCGGTTTTTACCCACCAGACTTTAAACCCACCCAGGTGGATTGCCCATCTCTAGATGGGCAGCAGCCATCCTCTTAAAATATTTTTAAAAGCTTAACTGTTGTTGCCTAGCGTGGTAACTACTAGCAAAACTCCCCTTATGGGAAAGGCTCATGTTCAGCAGTGGTCAGTTAACGGCTGAAATGAAGATGTGGGCGACGTGCGCTATGGCCTCACGGTCTGAGAAGCTTTGCATCCCAGTTTCGTTACTTTCGAATTTTAGATATTTTTTTTTAAACCATCTTTTTGCGTCGCCAAAAAGCCTCGCGTAAAGTGTATCTTGTCTCCATTCACAATTTAAGTCTTGCCCCGCTAATTATTGTAGTGAAATTACAGGGTACGAAGGCATGATCCTCAGGAGTGGTAATGGCAGTATCATAGACGTCATAGTGTAATCTTAGAGGGGGAAAGGCTTGTTATCAATGGGGAGATTAGTCCCTATTGTATTTGTATAGTCTACGCGGTTCCCTCTGAAAACCATCGTGACTAATTTATCATTTAATTCGTCACGATGGGCTAACTTACCTGACTTTTCATCCTCACCGATCATCTCTAATTGGTACCCCAGAAGCGTATACCGATAGTGCACGTTGGATTATCATTCCATTAGGTCTATTAAAAAAAGTGTAATTTTAGATGTTCATAATGATACTCCTTCTTCCCTGAGACTGGCATTGTAAGCACGCATCTGCTACCACTTGCAAGAGAAGTTGAAGCAACTCCTTTATCCTATAGTAAGAGATTAGAGGAATGGATATCAGTAATAAGAACTAGCGGTTTGTTCTGCGGCACCATATTGTTAAAACTTAATAAAATAAAAATTTCAATTTGATATCACAACGAAATTTTTATTTTAAGGACCAATAGGAACTAAATTTATAATAGATTTAAAACAAGATTATTATAATTTACATGTTCATTCATAAAAATGTCAAGCCTTTTATAAACTTATTTAAGCTAAGCTTATTTTAAAAATTTGCGCAAATTGTAAAGACTTTTATAGTAGACTTTTTTAGTGCTTTAATATTGTTACAATATTATCATATATATTGTCATATTTAAATAAAAAGGGTTTGCAGGACGTTTTAATTTTTATGGATATGGTGGTTAGTTTATAATGGTCCATAAAACAATAAAGGTTAAGAGATAAGCGAAATGGCGCCTCAGAATTGAACCCATTGATATGTGTAACTTATCAAGTCGGCGTCAAAGGAATATAAAAAAAAGAACAAATAGGTACGGATATTTTCTTATATTAAGTAATAAAAAAAAATAGTACAATACTATGTACCTAAATTATTAATTTTATATGTACAAAATAAAATCAATCGCTTAAACATTAAAATAAAATGTAAAGATAGAGCCAAATGTAAAAAAGAACATTAAGCACTCGAGAATTAAGAATCGAGTTTCGTAAGATAGTTTTTAGAATCTAAATACATCAAGTAAGTATATTTACAGAAGCTTATATATTATATTTACATTCTTTCTAGTACTGTGTGATACAATCTACAAATTTTAATCCCAACACACACTGCATAATAAAGAATCCGAAATTATTAAATAGTAAACATTGTTTTAGCCATGTGGTTCCGGCATAGAATGGGCCATCCCTTCTGTTTTCGTGGGTGGCACTTTTGCCATCTCTTTAGATGACTAAGGGAATTTAATAGTCGAGGAATATGTACCAGCGTCTCTCATAAAACGTCAACAAAGCCTAACTGCGGTTGTCAACCCGCAGTTCAAATGTGGCGACTACTAGCAAAACCCCTCAAAGGCTCACCCTCACATCTCCAAAAGGTTATGATGATTGTACCCACAATAGGTATCGGGATAAAAACTATCCTATTTCTCAAATAAAAAAAAAAAAATAAAATTTGCAAAATTTAATTAAAAAATCGGTAGAGCGGTTTCGGAGATTAGATACGTGAACGAACGTGAACAAGGAATTTTTATATATTAAGGTACCGACTATGTCATCGGTGCATCTCACAATTAACTTTTATACAAAAAGCAATAATTAAAAAAAAAAAAATTAAAGACGCTATTCGTTAATTAAAAGTTGAAAAATTTGTTACGCAACCAATACGGGAGTAAATCTTAGAGATTGCAAAAATATTGTCAGAATCATTTAAAAAATACAGATAAGAAATTCTTTTTGAGCTAAAAAAATAAAAGCATTCGAGGATAAAGAGATTGGTTTCAAGCGATCTTTTTTTTAGTATTGTTTGAAAAGAATCTGCTTTCAAAATATCTACTTTCTTCATGTAACTTGTCGTCTATTCACAAAAGTTCTGTTCATATTTTCGTGTCAATCATATTTTATAAATTTATAAATATAATTTTCAGCGCGATATATGAGAGAAAATCATAATAAAACCTAAAAATTTTTAGTTTCCGTTCTACAAAAAAAGTCTACCTCGACCGTCACATTTTTGTGTGTATGTTATTTTTATTATACTAAAAGGCTGTTCTTTTATTGTTAAAAGGTATATGTTCTAGCGCATACTCTAGACAAAATTATTATTTAACATTCAGTTAAAAACTAGGAAACTTTATAAGTAGGCTACAGCTGGTTGGGCAAATAAAAACAAATATAAAACCAATTGAAAATCTCTAAAAAAAAAAAAAAAAATACAATATTAGACTATTTATCTAAGATCATTAAATCTTAGATAAATACCATTAATTTCAGTCTCCTATGATATAAAAGTATACTGCGTGAAAAAAATATTATGAATATTATCTTTAATGTATACTATACTAAATACATAATATACATACAGCATAAGACCAAACATACAAAAAAAAATTATATATTCTAAACATTATATATCCTCAAACAGATAGATCCATTGTAGTTCAGTACATTTAGTACAATCTGCAACAGAAATTAACTGTAAATGCTGACTCTGGTACTTACCACCACTGGCAATTTTGAATCTAACAGATGCAGAATGAAAATGAAGTTTGAATTAAAGTGACGCTTAAATACAAAAATAATATTATATCGCAACTTCATTTTTATTATTAATCCTCAAATTTAATGGAATGGACGCCAGTATCGATGGCACCACCACGATATGAGCCCCGCTTCTTCTTCGTCTTTTCATGTTTGAATGACTTGCCCCGAGTGTGTTTCAAATCTTGATTGGCACGCTCACCCCATGAACCACGAGCTCCACTCTAGAAAATATGAAATATAAATTTGAGAATATAAAATATCAATTGAAATGTCATATAAAGATAGTTTTATCAATTGAATTCAATTTAAATAAATTGTGAGAGAGATGATATCATTACTTGTTTTCTATACTGTATTTATTGTACTGTTGATAGCATACACTGAATTATATACTGTCTTACAATATAATTGTTTAAATAACGTAATTACAATTTATTTAATAAGTATATATATATAGTTTTTGTAATAGGTAGTATCAAGTACCTAAATCAAAATATTAATGCATATCTTACCCATTTAGTCAAAAACTATTTTTTTATTTTGAGAATTATCTCCACCCCCGAAACTGTTTCTGTCTTTAAAACCGCCTTTATTAAATCCTCCCCGGTCACCACCCCAAGAATGACGATCGCCACGGCCACCACGATTTCCCCAGCCACCTTTGTCGCCCCCACGGCCACCTCTGTTACCCCCACGACCACCTCTGTCCCCACCGCGACCTCCACCGCCTCGCCCTCCTCTATCGAATCCACCACGGCCTCCCCTGTTGCCACGTCCACTTCTGTCGTTGAAGCCGCCGCGACCCCTGAATCCCCCACGACCTTTATCAAATCCACCCCTGCCATGATTAAATCCACCATGGCTACGATCTTGCCAGTTTCCAGATTTATTGCCTTCTGACTCTTCATTATTTTCATCATCTTGGTTTTCACCCGCCTGGTTGAGAGAGACACTTGATTTATAATAATACCACCAAGACAACCCTATGTTATTTTAATTCTTAAATTAACATAAAAGTAAATGCCCAAAATTGGTAGTGTGCCATTATATATTTTTTTAAACTACGATAAAAAATAAATTCAAGTGGATGCGTATACTTTTTTATTCTTACATAGAGTTGCCTTGGCTTCTCAAATTTTAGGGCATTTACCTTAGCCTCAAAAGAATTATCTTTAAGTCTAGGATCCACTTCTATTTTTGCATCCACCACACGTCTAAATGGGATTGGCTTATTATTTACTTCATTCTGGTTCTGAATAGGTGTTGAAGCATTAACTGTTCCCTAAAATTACAGTAGTAGCAATATTAGTAATTTAGAATTAAATTTAAAGAATTTTAATTAAAAAATTTATTTACTAGTACTACTATTTTTTTTTTAATATGTATATAATATATTGTGTTCACCTTTACAAAGTTCTTGTATGGCTTTTTAGCGGGACCATGATCTCCATCTGATATTTTCCTTTTCTTTCCAGTTTGGACACCATTCTAAAAATAAAGCTTAGCATAAGTATTACTCTAGTAGAGAAGTTATTCTCGTGATATCATGTATCAGATAATGTTGGATAGTATCTGAATATTTTAGTAAATGACAAAAGTTGAATTAGAAATCAAGAATAGTTTTGCGAATATGGTATTTTAATACGTTTTAGAAAAATATTTCAAAATATTATGGAATAATACATTTACAATTTGATTAATTATTTGTGATTTTCTTTATTTTCTATGAAAATTTCTATCAGTTTAAATTAATAAAAAAACTGCTTAAAGTCCAAAATGCTAATACGCCATGTCATGCCAATACCTGCTTATAAATATATTTTTAGCTATCAAATCGTACTCTTAGTTATAACTGATAACTTTACTGCAATAAAATTATTTATAAATGGTGCATAGTTCCATATTATACAATACATCTATAAAATAACCCATTACCATGTAAGAAAAATGTAATTAAAATTTCATTTATTATTTGAAAGTTTCCCAAGTGATATAGTAGGTATGCAGTTAAGTTAAAAAAAATCATGGAAAGTAGGGAGAATGTATTCTATGTATTTTTTGTGTGATTGTGTGAAACAAAACACAATACAGTCGGTATGAAAGTAATATGTGTTAATAAATACCTGATTTCCAGCATTTTCATTTGAACCTTTTTTCGTTTTTTTCAAAGGTGGGCCATCATTATCATCACTGTCTGATTCTTCTGATGAATCCTTCTTTTCAATTTGTTTTTTATTAACAGGCGCATTTTGTTTTGGTTCATCTTCATCACTACTGTCATCATCTGATGATTCTTTCTTCTTATTTGGTGTGGGTTTAGCTGCCTTGGTAGGATTTACTTTTTGAACTGATTTAGGTTTATTATCTTCACTGCTATCATCATCACTATCCTCTGAAGAAGATTCCTTTTTAGCTATTGGCTTTATTTGAGGTTTGACCGGAGCTTTTTGTGTGAGTTTTGTTTTCTCATCTTCACTACTACTATCTTCACTACTTGATGAATCCTTTTTTACAGGAGCTTTTGTTGCTAATTTAGCAGGAGTAGCCTGAGGTTTTGGAACGGGTTTTTTGGCTGTTTCATCATCACTGCTATCATCACTTTCATCTGAAGATTCTTTTTGCTTAACTTGAATAGCGGTCTTCATTTGTGGTTTAACAGTTGCTGTTTTAACAGGTGAAGCTACCTTACCTTTATTATCATCATCACTACTATCATCACTGTCTGATGATGATTCAGGTTTTTTAGCTGGTGTTACTTTTGTTGGTAATTTCGTTGGGAGTTTAGGCTTTGCTTCCTCTTCACTACTATCGCTATCTGATGAAGAAGCAGGTTTCTTTGTTACTGTTAATTTAACAGGGGTTTTTGGTGGCGCTTTTGTTTGATTAGTCACTGCTTTTTTAGTAATTGCAGGCTTATCAGAGTCATCACTATCATCACTGTCATCAGAAGAATCTTGTTTTTTAGCTGGTGTTACCTTTTTTGGAATAGGTTTAGCAGGTGTTTTTACTGGTACTTTAGGTGTTTCATCTTCACTATCATCACTGTCTGAAGAGGATTCTTGTTTCTTTGCTGGCACTTTAGCAACTGGTTTCGTAACAGCATTCTGTTGATTTTTGGACTTCTCATCCTCACTACTATCATCAGATGATTCTTCTTTCTTGGCTGGCAGTGGTTTGGTTTGTGGTTTAGCAGGAGTAGCTTTTGCCTTAGTTTTAACATCATCACTACTGTCAGTGTCATCTGAGGAAGATTCTGGTTTCTTTACAGGTGCTGGTTTTGCAGTAGGTTTGGCTGGTGTTTGTTTTGGGTTAGGTTTAGATTCTTCATCACTACTGTCACTGTCATCAGACGATTCTTCTTTAGGTTTTATTTTCGTTGATGTATTTGTTAGTTGTGATTTTATTGGCTGTTTTTTTGGTTTTGCAGTAGCATCATCTTCACTGCTTTCACTATCATCTGATGACTCTTGTTTCTTGGCTGGAATTGATGATGCTTTTGTTTGTTTTACCTACAATTAAATATATTTTAAAAATAATAAAAGCTCTTTATTACAGGTAGGAATATTTAATATATAAAATAATCAGAGGTAGTGACGAATTGATTAAAACATATTAATCACAATAGACATTTCATTGCAAGATTTCACATCATATGTAAAACAGAAATTATTTAAATTTTTCTTGTATATGAAGTAACAGAAATACCATGAATAATGCATACTCACAACTTGGTTGCTCAGTAGTAGAAAAATATATTTACCTGTGTTTTTAGTTTTTCATCAGCTGATGAATCAGAGTCATCTTGATATTTCTTTGCAGAGGGACTTTTGCCATTAACTTGTGGAAGTATTTTTTTAGATTGTTCTTCTTCATCACTTGAGTCATCAGAACTAAAAATTGCACATATTACTTTTACCATTAACACTGTCTTTAATTTTGGAAATATTATGGAACAGGTGAATACAACAGAATTAAGAATAACAAGAATTATTTAAATAATGTGAGACAGTATCAATCAATAACTAATTACAGTGAGCAATTTATGAATTTTTAAAGAAAGTAGAATGTAAGAATATCCCCTAAATAGACAAGCCTGTATGAATGTGGAGTTAAGGAAGTGGCAGAAAACTCAAATCTGTTTTCTGTCTATTCTAAAAGAAAAGTGTGATAATATATGCAACAAAGTACTAATACTTTATTTCCATGAATTTCCTAGTAAGTGATAGCACATAGAAGAAATATTTCAACAAGAAGATAGTGAGAATGAAATCATATTAGAAACATAGGATCATGAGAAGCACAGTCAATCATCACAGCAATATTGAGCAGGAAGTGGATGCTAATGATATTGTTAACATTTCCTGCAGTTTGAAGATCAGGATGAGTAAAATTGTTTTTGAAATTAAGATTATTTAGATGATGTACCATTGACATATATTAGGCAAGGGAAATTCATTGGCTAAAATAGAAAAAAACTGAATGGCTTGTTAGTCTGTTAGTTTAAAATAATATAATAAAATAATATAAAAGGTGATTTTTTTACTTCCACGTACCACAAGAATTCCATTATGTGCCCACCCATGAGCATTTAACATGTTAAAAACTATAGTTACTTATACAGCTTAGTACTCAACCTACTTAAGTAATATCATTTTGACCTAAGGCAAAGAATGAAAACAACATGTCATTTGTTAAGTTTGGTCCATTATTCTCAGACATAATAAATAGGTAGATGTATATATCAATACATACTAAACAAAAATAAGAAATACCACACAGACAAAGTCACAGGCATTAGTGAGTGAATAATAAGATACTTATATTTGAATATGTGAGTGTTTAGTAATTCAGTTATCATTTTTTACATCTTGACTAGAAACAATAAAACAAATTCAAATATCTAATAGATTTTTTTGCCGGGGTAACTATTGAACAATATGGTGACAAAGTAATAATTTATCTTCTCACAAAATCTATTAAAATAATCTATATACAATACAGAAAAGAATACAATTAATCCCAAAAGTGCAAGCATGTTCTATGTCTCTATTCTCATAATGAAAAACTTCATAGTATCATAGTGAAACTATATATATCCTCAACTTTGAATGGTATTTCAATTATATAGTTATTAAATTGTAATATCAAAGAAAAATTTCCATATTTTATGTGATTTATTAACAATACAATTGTATAATTTTAATATATAAAATATATTAAAATTATACAATTATAAATATAAAAACTACAATACAGAGAAACACAACTGGAAAGATATTTTTCCAGTTAACAAGTCCATTGATACGAAAATATGGAATAGAAATATCAGAATTTTTATAGGATAACTAAAAAACTTTGTTATTGAAATATTAATAATATTAATAGTTATGATTAGCAAGCTCTTAATCTGCAGTTCTGTATGAGTTTGAGTGTCAGCCCATTAAAATGGATGAACAACTGCATATGTAAATGATGTGATAGAGTATATCATGGAGGGTTTAAATATTTCTACAAATAGCATTGATGTAATTACATATGTAGATATTTGAAATAAACTGTTTCCTGCAGCTTTGCTCACATATAACTGTATATAAAGTATTCTGTGTTAAGTTAGGTTATAACCTAAATATGCATTAAATGTTATTAGTAAACATTACAAATTTAACATTTATAATATTAGTAGTATATTCTTGATATATTAAATGTAAAGTATAAAAATACGTACCTTTCAGCAGGCTTGCTTTGTTGTTTCTTGTATTGAGAAATTATATCTGTCAGTGTAGGTAGGTTTTTTGCACGAGGTTTCTAAAATATAAATAATTGTATGATATAAATTATGTATTATATAGAACATCGATACATATATCTAAGTAATAATAACCGGTTAGTAGCAAATTCGCAAAGAATTCACAAGTCACAAATACACACAATGTGAAAATGATTATTTTTATGGCACGATGTAAAGGAGCGCCGTTTTTGTTCTTTTTTATAATATTACTTAAAATAGAGAAGTATTTAAATAATTTAAGTTAAGTACCAACACGTGTGGTGTGTGTGGACCACACGTGGTCTTTGGTTAGGTGGACCACTCACCGCTTTAGTCTTCTTTAGAAATTCATGTGCCAGCGATTTGTCTACATTCAATATAAATTGATAAACCAGAGAAATAGCTTCGGTTTGCACTACAGAAGGAACCGCCATAATAACGAATTTAAATTTATTTAATAATTATAAATGAAGAACAAGCACCAAGAGAACCAAAAGACACTCGGCTCGATCAAGGCTAACAGTATTACCATATTCACATTATTAAAAGTGAAGTTTATATTAGGCAACAGTGTGACCAGATTTCATTTTTACTTCTTGACACGACGGATACGAATCTAATGCTCGTGGAGGTTAAAAGCTACTGAATTCTAACAAAAGACAATAAGAAAAGACATGAATGTTTTATTGATTAAAAGATTTTATTATCTTTTAATTAATAATATAATCTTTTAATTAATTATAAAAATAAAAAAGAAATAGAAAATGTTATACAGCTGTATAATCTTAACAAATTCAGATACAACCTGTTTGCATATTTTCTATATAAACTGTGTCGAATATATAATATAGTAATGTAAAATTTGTCATTGATTAATAATTGATATATCAAACATTGTCTATACACTAGCCTGATATAAATTAAAAAAATAGCAGGGGATGTATATCTTTCGTCCTCTTTTTACTAATTATATTTGCATAAGAAGAATGGAGGCAACCATATGATTTACAGTTTTTATTTTATCATTCCTTTTATGGAATTCCTTGTTCTTAGTATTTATTAGCTTGAAATATCTATCTATAAAAATGTATGTTTTATAGTTTTTTTCTGTATTACAGAAATAAATATATATTTTATTTTAAAAAATATTCAAAAATATTATATAAAATTCATGTATTAAATATGTTAATACAAAGTCAATTAGAATTAAACTGAAAAAAATTAAATATATTTAAAAAAATAGAGCATTAATCTTTTAACCATGATAAGTTATTGGTATAATCCGTACGAAATATTAAAATATATAACATTATTAATTAATTTTTACTATCCGCGCTGTTCTAAATAATATACATTATATGAGTGTAATAAATGCATTTCAAATTTGTAAATGTCTATTACGGGTTTGGTTTGAAATGAAAGTGTTGATAAAATTATACGAAACATTATATTTAAATCTCGGTTTCTGAAGATGAAATTAGTATTTATATTAAACTATTTGATCTTGTTGTAATCATAACGAGTTTTTATACATAAATTATACTAAACAGCAACAATTATTATAGCTAATTGAAATCAGTTTATACATTAAAAGTTTTTGCCATATCGATTTGTCTTATTTGGATTTTTTGAGAAGCGATTTTAGCGCACCTCTACCTCGGTACATGGCATGGCATCTGAAGTAAAATTTTGTATAAGGATTTTTAATTATCGGTCTTTCGATTGACATTATTAGCAAATTTGTATAAAAAGCTAGATCAAAATCAACTAAGAAAGACGTAGGCTGCATGGATAGAATAGATGTTTTCATATTTATAATTTGGTAAGTTTTTTTAGATAGGATGTTGAAAAATATATCAAAATCAGTTTCCCTATATTTCATTTAAGTTGTAATTGTTTATAATAATCATATTATAGACTAGCGGCCCGTCCCGCCATCGCACGGGTGGACATATTTAAATTTTAAAATGTGCCGACGGAAGCTTAAAAATGCAGTAATTTCTCCCGTTTTCCCAACATTTCCCTTCACTGCTCTGCTTCTATTGACCATAGCGTGATGAAAAGTATACTATAACCTGCCCAGGAGTATAAAGAATAATTGTACTAAGTTTCGTTAAAATCCGTCGAGTAGTTTTTGTTTCTATAACGAACATACAGACAGACAGACAAAAATTTTACTGATTGCATTTTTGGTATCAGTATCGATCACTAATCACCCCCTGATAGTTATTTTGGAAATATATTTCATGTACAGAATTGACCTCTCTACAGATTTATAGAGTATAGATTATAAGAAAATTTAAAATTTGCAAAAGTTATTTATGTGGTTTGCTATGAAATTACATATGAATTATCGTAATGTAGAATTCCGCTAGTGTTGGATCATTCACCTGTAATTATTAATATTATTTTTGAAGAAATTATTTCTTCCGTTAATATCCAATACTTTTTTTTATACACCAGCCTGCTATGAATTGATAAAAATAGCAAGTGCTGGTGTATCTTTTGTCGTCTTTTTACTAATTATATTTGCATTAGAAAAACGGAGCCAACCATATGATTTATAATTTTTATTTTATCATTCTTTCTATATAATGCCTTGTTCTTAGGGTTTTAGGTTCTTAGAGGTAAATGACCGTGGGTGCTTTCTCTGTAGTGTGCACCTGATCTATATTATTTTCCTTAGTCTATGTGCTTTCTCTGTTTTATGGGGTTTTCTCATCTTTTCTTTCTTTATTGTGTCAAGTTAATCAAAGTCAATGTAGGAATAAATGCTATAAATGTAAATCTACGAGAGCCTTTAAAAGCTGTCGAAGTATTCATGTATTTTTCATATTCTTTTAATAAAATGTGTTGATTTCTGTCAATTTGTTACAATAATTTTAACTCGTTTAATTATATACCACGATAATTGCTTTAGTACATTCGATCTTAGTACCCAATCAAAGGTATTGTTGATATTGTCATTGCGTCGATAAGAAGAACGTGACATGTTTCCCGATATTTGCTTTGTCGATATTCAGTAGGATTTCCTACGATCACGATTATTAAATGAGAAATGTAACGTGGGCTCTATTGAGCGCAAAACTGGGAAGAAAAAACAATGCCAGTGCAACAGATAAACGTCAAAAATTCGTCTGATATTGAAAGTTGGGAATGGGGTGGAGGATGTGGCAGAGAACCAGTGCGTGCTGGTTCGGGAAGCAGTCGCACATCTTGCAGCAATTCCAGTGGCGATATATGCCGTATTTGCCACTGCGAGAGTGAAGTACACAATCCATTGTTGGCACCGTGCTATTGCTCAGGTATTAGAATAAATTGATTCAATATTTATGTTATTGCGGTTTGTGGGTTGTTTCGCAAGAAGTAGATTGATTTTTAAGATTGGTATTTTATATATACATAAAAAAGAAAACCATTGTTCAAAGTTTTATCTTAATTTTATAGAAGAAAATCTGCAAATTTCTGGTTTCTAAAAATCTTGTTTATAAACACATTTGCTTATGCATTTTTTATTTGTGTACATTTATATAGATACATACATATCTGTCACACCTGTCTTCTATTAGGGTAGGCAGAATCAATGGAGCACCAAATGCTTCGATTCAAACAAACCTCTTTTGCTTCTTCCACATCCATTAATCTTTTTATACACTCTCGCTAGTTATGGGTACTTTTAATTTTAGCCTTCTTCAGCATTTCACCTATTTGGTCGACATATATCCATCTAGGGTGGCCCCTACCAATATCTCCTTATCATTTTTGCTCAATACATCTCTTTTATAATACTTATTTCATTTATCCTCTCCAAATGGCCAAAATGCAACTTTTATATCCTTAACAGTGTATTATATTTTGTTAGTTGACATAAATATCATGATATTTATTTTTAAACAATAATAATTATACATTACATATCTTTAGTTGTATTGTAATACAATATTTTAATTATATTTTATCATATTAATATATATGTAAACAATTATTTATTTTATAACTGTAAATATATTTCAAATATTTTCTTTATATACTATATATAACTATATACTCTACTATATATATATAACTATATATACTATATATAACTATAAACAACAAAAAATGAATTAGACAAATAGGAGCAGTTGTTCTGAAGTGATGTGCATTTGGCACTTGATTTTTATATAGATTAATACATTACATTAAATAGGAGTGTAATTAAAATTATTTATTTTTATTTGCAAAATGTTTGTTAGGTTTAAATTTTATGACTATGCGCCTAACCACAATTCTAGGAATATTATTATGAGAAACATTAATAAATGCTGTTTTTTCCTTAAAAGATGGATATATATATATATATATATATATATATATCGCTTACTTTCAGTTTTGTAAAATTAGATGTCATCTGATTTAATGTTATATATTAAATAAATGAGATTTTTTTTTAATTTTTTTTTTTTCTATTTAATGGAATATAATCTGCTTTGTGTTACAGATCATATTCTTTTATCATCATCATATTCGTTACTGAAAATTGTATTTTATTAATATTATAGTTAAGTATTAATTTATGAAAATTCTCATCTGTAAGTACCTATAAAGAAGACAATGAACTGTTGACCTATTAATGCTACCCCTAATATATGTTTTTTTAAACCTTTTTCAATATTGAGATTGTCTACATTTTTATTATATGTGTAAAGATAGGTATTATACATATATATCTATAATTTGTATGTAAATATAATTAAACACTGTTTGATTTAAAAAACTTTGAACTAAGTTATATGAGCCTTACAGTGATGTAAACCTTTTTGTAATGAGTCTTATGGTATTATGGCCTTTGATGATGATGATACAGACGTTAACTGTCCACTGTTGAACATATAGGGCTTTCCCTTGTGAGGTTCAGTAGTTGTCATACAGGTTAGTAATCACAGTTAGACTTCGGTGATGCTTTAAGGGAAATGCTGCTGCTCATCCCTCAACCATTAAGTTTCCTTATTCACCTCGTATGACACCTACGAGAAAGAAAGTTTTTTTAATGGGTGATAATGGAATGGAAACCCGCCTGCCTTATTGGTATAAACTGGTGGAGTATCAGTGAGGGATATTAAGTGATGATAAAAGCAGGTCAGTTAGTCCATAGTGATGAATTCTGCTAGAATTAACCATGATGGTTTCCAAGGGGAACAGTGTGAAGGTCGATCTGATAGGGTGTATTGCTGGTCATATGACAGTTAGAATCCATTACTAACAATCCCTTTTACCCCAGAAAGGAAGGGTTAGCCTATTCCATGCAGAGACTACTTGACCATAACTATAGCCCTTTAAAGCCTGCAATAATAAAGAAACAATAATGTTCTCTTATTTTTTATATTTAAAAATTTGACAAAGGTTTATTAAATAGGACATTTTTTTTTAATTATAGGAAGCCTGAAATATGTACATCAGAGTTGTCTACAACAATGGCTGACAGCATCTGAAACTAGGTCCTGTGAACTTTGCAAATTCAATTTCATTATGCACACTAAAATAAAGCCATTTAATGAGGTATGTGTTAAATTATTTAGCAACAGTTTATAATAATTATATATTCCTTATATTTTGTAATAAGATGACTGTTATATAATATATTTATTTATACAGTAGGTGGAAGAGGTGAAATTTTGCATACCATATGTAACATTGTTAAATCAATATGATTATTCAGAATATATGAATTGTTTAACTTAACTTTTTTATTAATAAATTTGAGTGTACTTGGTAACAGTCTCACCTGATGTTAATTGATGACAAGGTTTAAGATGATGCACTCATATGTTTAGTCTTGAAAAACGATAGATGATATGAGTTGGGAAATATAGACATATATAATAGTATAACATGTGTGACAAACACTTGTTGACAAAATATCACTGGATACCCAATTAGGGTATTACAGTAGTGGAAAATTTGTTTATTTTTATTTAATATTGCCATAGAATGCAATTTTAAAAGGCAGTTTTATTCCTAAAAGCATCTCATGGTGAAATGTTTTTTTTAATGAGTCAATATGAAACAGTACCCCCACCTGGGCTATTGATATACACTAGTGGGGACCAGTGAGGGATGATAGGTGGGGATGAAGCAGGTTATTTGGCCCATTATTCGTTCATTCAACAATATTTAACCACTATTGGGAACAATGTGCACATCAATCTGATAGGGTATATTGCTAGCAATGTGCTGTTAGAATCTATTACTAACAATTCCTTCCACCTGGTGAGATAGTTTGATGATGGACTTTGAATGGGCCATTGGAACTTTGAGTATAATAAGTGCAATTTCATCAAGTTTGAATTCAATCGGTTTATCTTGATAAATAGGTTCTTCATCAGGGTCTATATCTATAAAAACAAATTAAAGTTTCTCCTAACAAATTATTCCTTCTTGGGTTAGAACCAAAGAATGCTTATTCATAATACAGTATAGAGTGCCAAATAATAAAGAGCTGACGATCTCTTTGGAACATGGTCACGACCTCGCATGCGGTTGTAAATTCATACTCACACCTCAGACAACATTGCTCTAATAATATTAGGTATTATTATTACAAACTGATTAATTAATAATTGTTATTTACTGACTAATTGGTAACGCAAAATATCTTAAACTGTTAATACTCATGAACCGCTTTCAAATAATGATGAACCTCTGTAGGGGGGAATTATTGTAAAATTAACTCGAGTGCCTATACGAGTATTTTCCCAAAAGTATTATTTACATGCTCCAATGAATAAGACGGTTGTTTTTTATAGCATGTCGAATTGAAAAACTATTTTCTATAATATAAGACGTGCTCAAAGTTCCAGTTGATGCAGTATTTTAAGATGTATTTTAAATTCATGTGTATTTCGGCCGTCACATGTCCGTACTTGCACGGTTGATTCGGTTTGATATGTAAAATATGATAATTTATATATATATATACTTAGAATGACAAACAAGCTGACGGTCCACCTGATGGAAAGTGGTAACCGTCGCCTATAGATATGAGCAGTATCATGGACATAACAGAGTGCACTTTTTCGCCCATGATACCCCCCATGCGTTGCCATTCGTGAGGACTCGAGTGTTATTCCTCTGTACCCTGTAAATTCACGCCATATCCCACCTTTCAAACCGAAACACAGCCATGCAAACACAACTGCTTCACGGTAGAAACATGAATGGGTCAGAGGTATCCAAGCAATCGACTTTTGTACAAAGTCTCCCTCTGGTAATAATAATAATGAAATTAAATAGTAGTAATAATGAAATTATTCGGAAGAATAACAGTTTAGTTCTTATAAATAGAGACGTTTGTGAGATGAAGAGTGCTATAGGCAATAACAGTATGTTCTTAGATATTCATATTATTGTTAGTGTCTGTAGGCAACGACTACCCATATTCTATAAGATGGAAATCCTATGTTAATACCTAAAGGATAATTGATTTTAATATTTATTTTTTCTTTTTAGTGGCGTCTTTTAGAAATGTCCGGTGTGGAACGTCGTCGACTTTGTTGTGCTGTGCTATTCCATTGCGTGGCCGCTTTATGTGTCATGTGGTCGCTGTTCGTACTTATTGAGCGAGCGGTGGAAGAAGTGAATCGAGGGCTAATTGGTAATTATTTTTTGCTTAAATGTAATGTGAATTCTTGATACGACTTCATTATATTGGTTAACTAATATTATTCATATACTCATCGTATGTCTCTTATGAAAGCAGGTCCTTATGGTAACACTTAGTTCCACGGTGTTTATTAATGTATATTTCAAACGGTCATGGAACAAGCTCCGTGTCGAGGTTTTTCCAAAAAATTATAGCATGGGGTTCTTCAAAAACGGAGTAAAGAGGTTTCTTCAGGGTCGGAACACGCACATAATGCTTCTGGTTTGCAGACGTTCATAGGCTACGGTAACTGCTTACTATCTGGTGGGTCGTATGTTTATTTGCAACTTTAGTGGTATAAAAAAATCTTTTATTATTATTAGATATTTTATTTATATATTGGATGTAAAATGATAAGTGCTTCATAGATAAGTGTCTATTTACATTGTACTTTTGTAGAGATCGATTTGACTTTCAAATACAAGTCAAATTGATCTCTACATCTATAAATAAATATAGTACCTACTATGAACTAGTAAGGATTGAACTCTTAGATAAGTTAATAGGACACCTTTTGTGAATTGAGCATATTAGAAAATTACTAGACAAAATTGCTTTCGCAAATACTTGGTACCTACTTTTTTAAATCAAATCGATCACGTATTTGACAAATACTTTGGATTTCCAACTATAAGATGCTCTTGTGGTGAACGTAATATACATTTTGCCGAGTGGATATGTACATTTGATCACGGCATGCCGTGTGGTCCCGGCATAGAAAAGGCCACCCCTTCCCTTTCCGTGGGTGTTGTAAGAGGCGACTAAGGGAACTTAATGGTCGAGAGATAGGCAGCAGCATCCTTTTAAAAATTTCCAAAGGCTAACTGCGGTTACCAATCCGCCTGCCAAGCGTGGCAACTACTGGCAAAACCCCCAAGGGGGAGGCTTATGTCAGCAGCGGATAGTTAAAGGTTGATATGATGATGATCACGACATGGTAGGATCACATCTCATGGATTATAATAGTTCTTGAAGGTGTTTTCCGTCTATAAGATTTAGTGGAATATTTTAATGGTCACAAAATTTTTAGTGTCAGCCAGATTTAATTATGATGGAAGTCTTTGGTTTTTAGAAATCGAAACAGTAGCCGCATGAGCTTGTCCCTCTCAAAAAAGGTTATTATAGTAGACGCATTAAGTATGTCAAGAAGCAATTTAATGAATGTTTTGTATTGAACTTGACATTGATAGTTGGATGGCTATCCATGCAATTCGTCGTGTCTCTACAAATTATTGTATATAAGCGTTTTTATTTGCTTACCTTATTGATTTATCACGCCTCGTTTGTTATACTTGCTGACGTTGTTTACTTGTTTTTCACCAGACTAAAGAGCTGTCTAGCATTGTTACATAATAACGATATTTTGTAGAATTAAGCTATTATTAATAAACTAAATGGTATTTTTTTTTAATGGATGACAATGGAATGGTAACCCCGTCTGTTCTAACGCTGGCGGGGCACCAGTAAGGGATGGTAGGTGAGATGAAAAGGCAGGTTGCAAGCATGTGTAAGCACACATGATTTAATGAAATGCCATAAAAATAATATTCTAAATCTCTTAAAATCATTAAATAATTGTTTCTGTCATATCATTTAAACCATTTTGTGAGGTTTACTCTCATACATCTTCCTATAGAGTTTTATAATTGGACTTGAACTAGAAACATTTGATGTGTTGAGATATCGACGAACGTGTAGATATGATGAAATTGTCATGGTTTAATTTTTCTAATTGCTTATGGAACGTTGTAAAAGTGATTGTCATAGGTACATTAATAAACTAGGGTTTATTTAATGTGTAATAAGGGAATGATAACTCCGCCTGCACTAACGGTATACGCTGGCGGAGTACCAGTGAGAGATGATAGGTGAGGCTGAAAAGGCAGATCAGTTAGCCTATTGTGACGAATTCATCTGGAGTTATGTACGACAGTTTCCACGGGCACCGCGAGGTCGAGGAGGTTATTTTGCTAAGTTATTTAACTAGCAGCCCTTTGCTAATGGACTGCTAGTTACTATTACTAACAGTCCCTCCTTCCCCCCGAATGTAATAGGTATATACATTATTAGTTTTAACCCGCGACTTGATCTGCGTGATCGGTGTATGTTTACTGACCGAAATAAAAAGTATCCTATATCCATTTTCATCCCATATTGTATGTGTATACCAAATTTAATAGTAAGCGATTAAGCCATTGAGGCTTTAAAAGCAAACAAACAAATTCACATTCACATTTATTTTATAATATTATTAAGGATTGTTGCAGTGGCAATAGGTATTTACAAGTAATTTAAACAATATTGTCGGAAAAACGTTCTATTCTCTGTGTACGTGACTTCTCCATTAATATGTTTGGCAATATTGCACACATTATTATTGTGTAATTGTTGATTTTAAGAAAATATTATTTTTCATATACCTACCTCACGTAATGGGCACGGTTGTTGTATCGAATGTTTATTGCAACAATTCGTTATGGGCGATAATCACCTAGAGTTATTTACGCTATGTTTATACTTCCATTGAATCACCAATGAATTAAATATAATGAATACCCATATTTTATGATTGTAAGTATTACTCCTTTGTGTAATTACGTAACAAGAATACATTCTGTCAGTATTTATTTTAACAAAGTACAATATACCAGTGCAAGAGAAGGAAAACTCGAAATAAAATTCCTTTAGCCGCTTGGCTAGTATAATAATAGCTAGTAGTTTTGGCGTGTCGAAGTAGATATAGCAAAAACTTAAATATTAACCTTACAGGCAGGTAAGATGAAATGAATTAAAATGAAGAACCTAGGTGTGTGATGGTACTAATCACCTAAGTCAGTTCTGCGTGCTTTATAAATTATTTTAATAAATAAAAAGGAGATGTAAGGTTGTAATAACTAACTGCAGTTGCCAACCTGCCTGTCAAGCGTGGCAGCTACTGGTAAAACCCCTCTAATAGGAGAAGGATGGTTCGGCAATAGATAGTAACGGCTGATATCATCAAGGTTGTAATACCTGAAATATTGTCCCGATTGACTCCATTGTATATGGACTAGATGCATTCGTTTTCAAAACTATTTAATAAAGTACATAATGTTATATATAATGTTCATAATTTTTTGTAGTTTATTTAAGGGAAATGTACAGTTACTTTAATAGAATACTTGATTCCGATCCGACAAACTTTCTAGTTCTCAAGACTGACTGGAAAAATCCCTCCATCAAGAGATAAGTGTGCGTGTGTAATCTGTAATTCTCTCTTTAATTTTTTTCTTGTATATATAAACAAAAATTTATAAGGTTGTTTTATGTTTCAGCATGGCCGTTCTGGACAAAACTGGTGGTAGTTGCAGTGGGCTTCACCGGCGGAGCGGTCTTCATGTATATACAGTGTCGTCAGTACCTGCATCTCTGTAACCGCTGGCGGGCCCATAATAGGTAAGGCTGATTTGTTACTACTAACTGGAATTGAAATTTATTGTATTGTTTTTTTATAGTCTTACATAAAATTACATGTCTAACGTGAAAAAAGAAAATTATATTTTGTATTAAAAAAAAAAACAGCGTGCTCCATTATGACCAAATTATAATTGACCAGTAATCTCACTATTTATATTTTAAAAGGCATAAGACATATATGTATTGTTTTATTTTAGTTACAAAAACTGTACATAAAAATTTTGGATAGTGCCAAATTGTTATAAAAATATTATATATATTGTTATATATATATATATATATATATATATATATATCCGTATTTTAATTGAAATAGGTGCTTATCGAAGAAGATAATAATAATTGTACAACCAATAATTTCTAAATTTAATGTTCTATATTAAATACGTTCTATATAAAAAAGGCAACAGACACCTTTCAAGGACACGACGTCTAGTAATGAAGTGGACGAAGAGAGAGAGAGAGATATATAAAATACTTTATAATGTTATAATATATTAGTCAACCTATGTTTATGTAAATCAATTATTGCAACAGAATACTATTAATACAAAACGCACCAGAGAAGATTCCAATGAACGGGTCACCGCCAGTTCGCGTGAAGCGACGTGAACGATCCGCTAGGGGACAAGTGGTGGCCAATATCGAGCCGCCGCCGCCTCCTGCTGTTTATCACGAGGAGGATGAGAGTGGCGGCTTCGAGACCTACCGGCCCAATCCGTTACGGCGGCTGTCCGTGCGGCGTGATCCCCGCGACACCCGTGACCCTCGAGACCCACGCGACCCTCGCGACTCGCTGCGGCCTGAAGAAGACGCGCGACGCTCTTCTGATTCGCGCCTCGTGCAGGCCGACGGGGAACTAGATGTAAGTACCCCACTCTGTAGGGTCTGTCCACTCTGTATAACAATCGTAAAACCGATACTGTTTCTTTTAATGTTCTTGAAATTAAGAAGTACTATTAAAATATTTAAAAATCGTATAAGTTCACTCAAACTAAATCCCGTGATTTAGTATAAGTGAATTTTAAACTTCCGCATTGTTTATACATATTGTAAATACACTATCGTCATCTTACCTGCAAGGTTTTTTTTTATCACGTTAAGTCCAGATAGCGTTAAAATAAATTAGTAATAAGTGGTTCAGTATATATAAAGAAAAAAGTTTTTATGAACTGTTTGCGTATAGGTATACTACGGGTTTTGTCTTACAAAATTTTATGTTTTACTACTTATAAATTGTCTAAATAATTCATGTTTATAATTTTATAAGTTGTTACGCATTTATTTAATTGCAGGCTGGAGTGTACCACATCAGCGTGGACCCACTCGAGGCGGACATCCGTTCACTTTTAGAGTTAGAGGCGAGGCGGCAAGCTCGTGCGGCGCGGTCATTGCCTAACTTGCGCGCGAGCCGCGAAAGTTTGCTTCCCGCACCCGCTCACTCTCCCGCGCCAGCACCTGCTGCCGCTTCCGCCCTAGCGTCCGCACCGCCTATCGTCCCCGCCCCACCCACGTCCTCCCGTCCTTCCTGAGGATTCGTCCCCGCGCCGCCTGCGACGCTGCTGCTATTCCCCGATGACACAGTCTATTAGCGGCTCCGCTTCCGCTCCCGCTCCCGCTCCCGCCACCGCTCGCCCGCAGTCTCCGCAGCGTGCCGCCTGTTTAATGGTGCGAATTGACATGCTCACAGGGGAGCATGCTTGGATGCTAGTAGTGAGTGCGAAAAAGATATTTGTAAACATAACTATGCTATAATCTAGCAATATACACACATATGCTCGTAGGTAGCATAAGCTGATTAATATACGCTTTTGTGCCGCTGATCGTAATGCGTCTATACTTTTTAGTATGGAGTACGGGACGGCTCTGAGGGCGATAACTGTCGCCTGTGTTGTCTGAAGTGTTATATATTACGTTCTTTTAGATGCATTCGGTTTATAATTATTGTTTTCTTCACATCGGCTTGATTTTTACTGCGTTTTGAGTACATCGTTACTGAAGTCTGTTGTGAAAACGGTCAAATGCTCTTTTCGAAAATTATACTCGACTAACAAATCCCACTGTATATGACAATTTTATTGTTGAACTCTCTTTTATTTCAATAATTATTTTTACATTTTTACTTATTATTTTATTGTTGAAAATGTTTTCAAATATGGTTTTATTTATCACATTTATAATGTTTAAGGGTTGATATAGATTTGAGCTGCGGTGTTTTAATGTTTTCTATGACATAATTATGAGCTGTACGTGATCAAGTCTTGTATATATTAGTATGGAAGATGTAAATAGTCATGTACAATTAACGTCATAACAATTATAATGCAGAAGATAGTAGTTTTAAATGCTCTATTTGTCTACTCTCGGTTGCCTAGAGATAATATTCATAAAAAAATTACTTAGGTTTATTTCAGGGAAAGATTACACAATATTAGTGAAATTTAGTAAACTAATTGTTTTATTTTGGGCCCAGTTATTGAATAACATTGGGAACATTACTATAATTATCGGAAAATAAATGTATTATCCAATTTCTCATTGTTTTGTAAACGAAAATACGATAAAACGCAACAGTGAAACTAATTTGTCTAGATGTAATGTTAATTTAATTTCAGTACGATATGTAAAATCATTGCATAAACTATACAGGAGTTATAGAAATAAGATATTAACGTTTAATAATTTTTAATGCCTTATGCAATATATGAGACATTAAAAAGAATTTTAAACAATAGCTACACAATCCACAAATAAATCGTATTTGACAGCATGATGACTTTCATAAGTTCTTGTTCTAACATTAATCAAAATAAAATTCGTAATTGACTTTGCGTAGAAATTGTTGAAATTTGGTTTTATTTGTGCTAAAAAACGAAATAAAATTAAATATGAAAAAATATGTTAAATTCTATAATATATGGGGCACGCATTTTAATACACAATTGTACATTCACTGAATGATTGGTGAATAATTCACTGGGCCCAAATTTCAAGCAATCTCGAAACATCATCATTATTGTGATGTAGAATATTACATTTTAAAACTCGATTCAAACTGAATAAAAAAATAATTTTGAGGTACTTACGATTGGCTCAACTTTGTTGGACCACGAATGTGACCGAACATATTTTTTTAAATGTGAGGTGAATTTGTTTTAACATTCTTATAGCCCCAAAATTTTGGTTTGATTAAGTAGAATTTAGATATTAATTTTACGATGTCTCACAGTTTGCTGTATATTGTTTTAATGAAATATTTAGCAACTTAATTCTGCTTCGATTTAATTACTTGCCACTCGATTAAAAAAGTAGTTTGAAGTATGCCTAATAGAAATGCTAAAAAATGAGACTCATTAAGTGTGTTCATGTCGAAGTGTGCCAACGTTTGTATTATCTATCTAATTTTAAATATTTCTTAATAGTTATTTAATTAGTGTTCTTATAGCCAGCTTCAGAGCATTTAATGCCAGCGTTTTAGTGGTTATAATGTGCATTTTGTCTTATAAGTAATATCTTAGTTTGTTATCAGAGAAACTTTTTGAACAAGTCTGTTTAAAATATTTTTAAAGACAAGTATTTATAGTGTTTAGAGTTGATTACTAGATTCTCGGCATCATAAATGGGTAACAGTCCTTTACAGTACCTTAATATTTTATTATCTCAAAATTTACACAACTATGCTAAATTACATTCGGATACTAGCAAATGGTTAAAGAAACAGCTTGCAAATTTTAAATGAAAAGACTTAAATAAAAGCTTGTGAAAATCAATCAGAATTGAAAATTGATAGGCAAATCCAACGTTGTTACACTTCGTTATGGATGCTTTTAATGCTTCGTTTCATTGTTGCCAGCCACACACTAGTTAATTTTTTGCCTTAAATTAAATGTTATAGTCCCGAAATAAATTTAGTTAAATTTCGATTCGGAGTTCCTACATAAAATTTATATCACGCATTGTTTCTATATAAATTAACAGAGGTACATCATCTTTCTGTATCTACGTGGATTCAAATCTTGCCGCTGGCTAGACAGATACGTAAAAATATAATTAATTGGGAAGTGGATTATTCATCTGTGAAAATTGTTGTTTGTTATCTACCTGCATCGTACATTAAGTTATTCAGTGATACAGCATTGGATATATTATGATCGATAAACTTTTTAGAATGTTTGAAGCTTTAATTTTTTTTATTCTATTTCGCTTGTTCTTCTACGAAATACAACTGATTGCTGTTTGAGAAATAAGGTTGAGTCAATCTGTAAATACCTACCAATAGGCAGGAATTATCTTTTATGGCATAGACATTGAAATAACCCAACTTTATAAAAATTAATTCTTTTAACTTATTATAACTTTATGCTCTCACATTTGCGTATCTCTAATTTTCATATTGAGTCTGTCCATTTAGTTATTTTTTTGTTCGCTTTATGTGTGAGTTGTTCGTGATGATATGTATGCATCACATTTAAGTGAATCCATGTGAATAAGTCAATTCATGTTCGAAATTTTGAATATATTGTAGTGGCATTTTATTGTGAATTTCACTGTCACATTCACATTTCTGTCTAGATTCTATGATTAGTCTTCCCGTTATATATGACCTCAGAATGAATTTGTATACAGTAGTTACTGTGTTACGTCAATTTAAACTTATTTAAATTAAAAAAAAAATGTGACATAAAGTACCGAATCTCTTCATGATTACATATTAAATGACTTTTTGTTATGCTCTCTGTAAACTGATATTTCAATACAAAATCCTTATTCAGGACACAAGTATGTCACAATTTCCCTATCGTATTAGTCATGTCGGGGAAAATTACTCATGTATAAGATATACAAAGTACAATAAGAATATACCAAAACATATTGAACAATCGTCTACTTGCATATATTTTTTATATCGTGGTTCCATATACTTTAAAATAGAAAACGAAAATATAAGCAATGTTGAGAAAATTAATTTGAGAAATCGAAACAAATACTGAGTTCTTTTTCTCAGTGGATCAATAAAATTATATAGATAAATAGAAAAAATACTATCAACTAAATTTAATTTACTTTTTATGTTGCATTGAAATGGGACATACTTTATTTCATATTGTCATGAAATAATTAATACAAGAAGAGTTAATCAGCCGAATGTACAGCTCACAAAATGACAGGGATGTCAAAGTTATGACAGATGGTACAAAATTTTTCTTATTATTAATACATGCTTACAACTTTTAATACAATTTTTTTGTCAGTTTTTAAATAATTATTTGTGAAGTTTTTAAATTTTGTGTTATTAATTTAAATCCCGCAGTGCTGTAATAATTAATTGTGGTAAATACAGTATGTTAATTAATGAAATCCATTCTTTAAAACTAGTGTTAGTATTCGTTATTAGGGTATTAGAATTATTTTGTAAACAAATATAAAGAAAAAAAAATATTAACAAAAACAACAACCTGTATGTGTACTAACAGCATTACTTAATAAAATGTGTCTACACACCTTGTATTATGTAGTGTCGATAGAACAAATATAGGTGTTCTTTTGTATTTTTTTTTAGTTATTGGTGACATAAAGATTTTTTAAGAAAATAAATTAGACCTTTTACTTAATACTAACATTAGTTTTAAGAGATCGATTTCGTTATTTAACATACTGTATATTATTTTTATTCAATGTTGTTTTAATAAAACAAAATGAACTGCATTGTAATTTGTAACGCATTTAGAAAGTGCATTTAGGAAATTGTTTTAAATTTTATTTTATAACAATTGGTTTTATATTTTAGAATTACGTTCAATCATAGCCGTGAATAATAATAATAGTACATTTTTAAAAACTATATAGTAAAGATATTTTCGTCTGTATATAGTAAAAATTTGATGTTCATGATTTAAACATTTTGAAGATATAAGGAAATTGTGTTTATCATTACAGAGCTCTCAGAAAAAGACAATAACTTTTAGTCCATTATTCTCCAATTTTTTTTTTGTGTTAATACAAGATTTATAATTATTTACTATTTAGCCCTATTTAGACCAGTGTTTTTCATAAAAAAAAAAAAAAAAAAACTTTGTTGTAATAGACAGTAGTGGGCGCATAAACTTTCAATTTCTATAAAATATCTTATAGTAAAAGTTCTTATTTTTAAAACAATACCAAGTAAAGCAGTTGAATATTACTTATTTGTATAAAAATATACCAGTAACACAATGGGCTCTATCAACAGGTTTGATGTAAAATTATTATAGTTATGCCATTTTTTTACTTTATTTTTGACGTCTTGCATTGTACATTTAAAAATATTTCACAATAAAGTGTAATAAAGTACACGAAACGACTATTAGAAAAACTGTAATTATAAATAAAAAATAAAACTATAACGATGTTCACGCAAAATCGTCAAAACACAGGAGCGTTTCTTAAAACCTGTCAAACAGAAATTAATAGAATTACATAACAATAAAATGTTTATTATGTTAATAGCTGCAATTGTCGGCGCTTTGTGTTTTTTTTTGTGTATATATTGATATTATTAGAAAGACACTTGTACTCTTCCACAAAAAAGGCCACATTTCAATTGCTTTAACGGAAAGAAACAAAGATTATTTAAGTCTATGAAAATGCATTAAACTGCAAAACGGGTCTGATATTTATAATTACACCTTTTTTGTGGAAGAGAATAAGTGTTTATCTTATAATATCAATATTTATTCGTAATTTAAAAAATGATTTCTCATTTTATCGATTTTTCGTTGAAATGTGAAGAGTATTTAGTTCAGGACGGCATGTTAATCTATATTACTTCTACAATTAACATCACTTAAAAAAAACTTATTCTATTCACTATTTTTTAACATACTCTAATGCGCTTTAATTATTTTGGTACAGGTATACCTACTTTAATATAGATCATTTATTTGTATAGTATACATAATCGTATTCAGACATTTGAAAAGAGTAAATCAGGTCTCCATGGACCTTTCTAATGTAAATAGTTATTTAAATCTAATTAAAAAACATAAATTTAATTAAAATCCTCAGAATCAAATGTAGGTAATACGGTACGGTACAGAAATATTATGTAGCTAGGTAGTAATTATTAGATTGGACATTTGGTGCTAAAGATTAAATGGTGAATATCAGTCCAAAATTAAGTGTTATTGTGTGATTATAAGCTGGCTCGACATTAGTTTGCAGATATCCACTAAACTACGTAATTTTTAACAATCATATATCGAAGCGAAAACGTGTTTATCGTAATATAAATAAGTTTTATTTTGTAAAAATAATAAATGATGAATGATACTTGCGATGGCATATTTGTATATCGATTGAATGTCTTTCACATCTAATTACCTTGCACGTATGCATATATTTGATACATTGTGTTGTCTGAATGTAAATACAAGTTTTGTGCTATGGAAGAATGAACGTTTGTATAGGTTGAACGTTAATTATGATTTATATATATTGGGGACGAGTAAGTGAACGTTTGCGACAGTAATAGAAAACATGTTTCGCAACACGGATGCCCCAAAAGTGATCACGTCCCAGATTTCTTTTTTTTTTTTAACTTTTTTGTCGTTTTATTCTTGACTATTTGCAATTTATTATTGTATATTTCACATATGTCTCTATGTACATTATCCAGGAACGATGATTCTAGTCTGTTTCCATGAGATGATTATAAGGTCACAAATTACGTTTATGGTTTTTTTGTTATTACCAATTGAAACATTATTACTATGTGGTTAGGTCTCAATATTAATAAGTTATGAGAATGTTTTCAATTTGTGAATGTTGTAAATTTTATTGTATAATATTATTATAGTAATGTCGGTCAGTCACTGTATATGTTGATGTAAGAATTAAGGTCGTCGCCCATTAAAACAGTACAGCACTACTCCGACACAGCGAGGAATTATCACATAAATTTTACTTACGTTGTTAATGTAAAATGTATTATATTATACACAAAATGAAGCCTAAATTTGAATGAGATGTAGCTTGATATCGGAGCAGTACTGCAATAATGAGTAACGTCCTCATGTGTATACTTGGGTGCATGGAGAGATGTTCCGGTGCGGAGTGCACATTTGTTCCACTTATTTTTCTGTACTTATGTGTTTACATATCACACAATTGCGGCAAATTTTAATCGTAAGCGGCATTTGTAAATATTGCTTCCTCATGATAAAAAATTTAAATGTGACTAGTATCGGACCCTCTCCGCAGGTCTCTTGTGTTGTTGTAATAGTTTAGTTGACATTTGATTTTTGTTGGAATATCAAATAATAAAATTGTAGTGCCTTATTTAAATGTTTTAAACTAATATTCAAATATTCATTTTATACTAGGTATCACAGTATATAAGTAGTCCATGTACTTTATTAACATTCTTACCATTTAAAATCAAATTCTTTCATTTCTAACACACGAGACCTACCCGTTTGTATATTGTGATATAAGTTGTTAAGTGTTTATTTTTTTTTGCTCAAAATTAATATTTTCTCCTTTTGATCTGTGTACTTATCATTCATGAAATTTGTAAGACTGTATATTATTTTGTTGTGTAACATTGTTAGTTAACTCCAAGTTATAAATATAGTTATTTTGAGATTTAATGTCTTTTTTTTTTGTTATATGTTTTTAAAAATATCCTCTAATAAATTGGAGACTAAACGAAAGTAAAAAAAGAGAAGAGTTCGGCAAAAAATAGGCCTTGTTTGAAGAGAAACGGAAGCTTGTGGGGCGAGTAGTATGGAACTTACGCATGCCGAGTCCGCATTTGAATGGGCATAGTTTATCAATAAACATTCCTAATTAATTACAAATACTATACGTACGTACTTACGTGTAACTCGCCCATTTACCATTGTCCGTTTGTAATAGTGTGAAATAAATTTGTGGCGTGCACTAAGCCGCTTGTCTCCGTAAACAAGGTTTTAGAGGAAATTTGGATTTTTGTATGAACCGTCCATATGTGGCCAATAAAGTCACTAAAATCCCCATTGATACTTGTGTAGCACAACAGTACTAATAGGATTGGTCAAAATAGCATTCCAGTGAGTGTTTGTGGCGTTAAAATAGCCACTTTACGCGAATAATATTATAATTTATTTCGTATAATCTGGCCGATGAATTTATTTTTGAGTTACGTATGCTTATAAACTTACGCCTACAAAACTTGGCTGGGTGTATGAAATAAATCATATTATGATTTTTGCAAAATGACTATTTTAACTCTCCGATTTATTGTAGTAAAAAGGGTTGAAATTATGATTTTTTCCGATCAATAAAACAAAAAAGTAGATAAAAATAAATAATTTATTTAAAGTTGAACGAATTTCATACTCGTGGGCACGACCAGAGCTCGGGTCGACGTGACTAGACTGTACACTCAACATTTCTCATATGTATACATAAACAGTAATATTTCTGTACAAACAGAAAATCAACACTTAGTAATAGACGTTACATGGCTACTTAATACAAATATAAATGATATTACTAATACTCGAGTATTAGAATAATTTAATTAAATCCACCGAAAAATAATTTTACACACTGCCAGGAGCATTATTATAATAGTTTACTATTAATCTTTGTTAGTCTTATTTCATTGCTAATCGAATAAGTCAGTATTGGGCGCCGTCGACTAACCGCCACAAAACCATACTAAAAATCATATCCTCTGTGCTTCATACATTCGATGTGGCAAACTCAAGCTAAAAAATAAATTATACATACGTTGACAATACATAACGTATGCTATATCTATTTGTTGCTCAGTTCAATATTTCATTTCCATTGGTGGTCTGCCATGTCTACCTTCCATCATGACGGTCAAACTGCGTTGAAACGATGTTACAAGTCAGCATCACTAAGAACATTGTACATAAGGCGTTTGAATGAGTTTGACTGCTGAATGTGCTCTTCGTGTAATGAATTTACCTGTAGCAAAAACAATAAGACTATAATAGTTAATTTATATAAAGGATATCTAGCCCTTTTGTTAGATTTCTTATTTATGTATCTATTAAAGGCAAAAATTCATTTAGTATATAGTACGTTTCATAAATTACTACAAACAGAGGATCTTCCATGAAATGTTTTTTGAAATTTGGAGCCGAACGAAAGACAAATTTGATGTTAAAATTATATAATAGATACATACTGTTTAAAACTGTTAAAATATCTTTCCTTTTATGGTAGGATTTATGATAAATGAAATGTTAACTTCCATTTACAGGGCTGATTTCGGTGTGGACAACAACAAGAAATTGATCCTGTAAATTCGGAATTTCATTCCATGGTAGACCCTCAGATAACGTGCGTGCTAATTCGACTTCAATTGTTGTTCATGAAACACAATATTTATGTACAATTTTTCAAATTGATTTAACGTTAGTCTTCATACATACTTCGAACAGGTAATATAATAAAAGACCCGTTTTACTAACGCATCAACGATAAGCCTGAACCGACTTAGATACTATTTGTATGGGAAATAATTGTTTCAGCTCAAGTGTACTTCAAAGTTTATATGAATGAACAAAATTAGTATTAAATCACATATGATACTATTAAAGTAATTATTTTTTTTTATAAACAAAGTTATATTGAAGAAAGCGATTTTTTATTTCAGTACTTACGAAGGTCGTTTGTTTTCCTTTCGGTTTCGCGTCAGGCTGTTTCGTTGGTTTCGGAGTTGGCGCTGGTTTCTGAAATATGAACATATTTATTATTTTTTAAATTGAAGTATAACTTCAATGGTTTAATAATTTTAAAATTAAAGTATAACTTCAAAACTATGGTTTCATACTTGTATTTTATTAGGATTACAGACGGTCACAGGTTATCAAACTTCGTATTCAGTTAGTGTTTTTTACAAGAACCCAGTGGCAAGGACTATTTATCTTTTTTTTATACCACAAAGTTGGCAAATAAGCATATAATCCGTCTGATGGTAAACGGTCACTGTAGCCTATGGACGCCTGCAACACTAGGAGTGTCACGTGCGCATTGCCGACCCTGAAGAAATTTTAATATACTCTTTCTGAAGAACCCCATACTGTAGTCCCTAGGGAAAACCTCGGCAGGGAGCTTATTCCACAGCCTGAGCGTTCGTGGTAGACAATTTCTCTGAAACCGCATTGTGCGTGACCATTTAACTTCAAGCGTGTATCTTCTCTCCATGTGTATATCATCTATAATACTAAATTATTATATACCTAAATAGTTAAATAAATAAAACCCGCTGAGAACCACATTGTGCTTATTTTTAGATCAAATGGTCTACGATAACGCAACGAATGTCTTAATGTAGTTTTAATTCGCATTTTCTCATCGGGTTTTCTTATTTTTGGCAGTAAATGACAGGTACTACGCACCTTATTGGCCGGCGCCTGGAAAACCTTCGGCTGGACGGGTGTGGGCACCTCCTGCACCACGTCGCCCAGCCCCTCCTCCTGCAGCGCGCGGAAGGTCTCCGACTTGGCGGGGTCGTACAGCAGCGTCGGCTTATGGCTGCGGTGTCGTGCGGACAGTGGCGCGGGCACGGTAGTGGGGCGGGGCGTTAGTTTTTAGTCGGTTAGCGGGCGCAACACAATAATAGAGAGAAACACATTAGACTCATCTCAGTCGGAACATTAGGGGGACGCGGAAGCGGTTAGTACACGTACGGTAGATGTTTAGTGTTTGTTTTTGAGGAAGGAAAGGTCGATAAAAATACTAACATTAATCATGTAGAATAAGTTCTAATTCTTAATTATTTTAAATAAGTGATATATTCATTATAAATTACTTAGAGCTACTGGTGTAATAGCCACACTGATTCACACACAATGTCGTCGCGTGAAACGTGAGGCGAATGAAGTGTTCCATGAGTATTCGACACTTCTCGAAATATTTGTTGCCAACATGTCGACGTCGTCACCATGCTTGACGATATATCGAAGTGTTGTGTGAAACAGACGAAGTAGTTTCATAAGAGTTTCGAGAGACAGCAAAATAAAAATAAGAAGCATTAATGCATCATGAGAGATGGGCGTCGACTGTTGTTTTGGCGGCGTTTCTAGTAAAACACTTGCCTCTTCACAACGTGCGGCCGCCCGTAATGGCCGTTAGCGCTAGGTAAGCAGACAAATATTATTACACTATGCGATATATATACTATATATTTAGGCATTTTGAATACATACATTATAATTTACCATATACATACAGATAATAGTTATTATGAGATAACATTCTAAAGCAAAATGATCTCTGAGAAATATATTTGTGAGCGTCTATACCAAAATTATATTTACATTTGTATTGCACTAAGCAAGGGACACTACTTTCTAGGTTTCAGTAGTCACGACTACATGAGATAATCAAAATGTGACGCCCCTAGGTATTTTTCTGTGGGGTAGACAGATGATACCTAGAATACTTGTTATAAGTACGACAAATATACAGTTATATTTTATAGCGTGTCGAAGTTCAAATTTAATAATATTTCATAAAATTAAATTCATACAAAATATTCACAAAGTTATACATCGAGAATCGGTACTGTGCTTAAGAATACGTTAAGTGGGTAGTTTCATGAGTAATATTCTACCAATCTACATATAAGCCTGGCGTTCGGCCATGTTGTCGTACGTCAGTGCCAAGATATTCGTTCACAAACTATGATGGCACTCGCATTTTTAAATCGCCTGATATGAGACAAAATTTTGGTAAACATAATAAACTCGGTCTCATTTATATAATATAAATATTGTTTCATCATATAAATCATGAAATATTTATTAATACATGTAAAAGATATAAATTCATCAATGGGGTTTATTTTACTATCAAACATAAGATCACATAGTATGTTGCTAGATTAATTTAAATATTATCCTATAAGTTTATTCAATAGTATAATAAGCTCCATACTGTACGATGTACGTAAAACATTATTTGATAGGTACTCACGGCAGGGGCGAAGTTTGTTGTCTAATCGAATTAGCAATATTCTGGTCTGAATATAGATTGATGGGCGAGTTGAATTGCTTATGCACCACCTGAAGAAACAACATCAGATATTATTAAAACAGAAGTAACTAAAAGTATAAAAAAGTAAGCAGCTATATATTTTGTGGAAATTGTATTTATATTTGTATTTATTTTTGTATAAAAAGTTTTAGCTACTTGTCATTTGAATCGCGGAAAAACATATACATTTTATTATCGAATTCATTTTATATTAATTCATTACAATTTATATAGCTACAAACTCGGTTTTGCAAAAAAGTAAGAAAATAATGTACTTCAGTTGAAACAATCAGTGGCCTCCAAAACCATTCTAAATGAAGGAAACGTTGCAAAAACGATTGTTGAAATATGAAGCACAAACAAGATGGCGTATAGATACATGAGAATATGATTTTCAACGATTTCTTACAAGAATACATTACAACTTTATTTTATAATATGTAAGTATGTAATATTAATTCTGTTTTGAAGTTAAAATAAAAAAAGAGATTCTTGTAGGAGATCGTTAAAGTGAAAATCGATCAGCTTCGTTACAGAAGTTTGTCGCGCTCATGCTTGAAGCCGAATACTAAAAGGCAGTCTATTATACAACTCGTAAACCACCTTATTGCCCTCATCTCCAATCACTCGCTGCAGCACCGACTCGGCAACCTGAGTTTTTAGGAAAAAAATCTTTTGTACAATCCAATCCGTGCATTTAGTGCATCTAATTATTTGGTTATTAATCTATAGCTCATTATACCTGTACTACCTAATACTACTTGCTATAATTACTAAGAAAAAGTTTTTAAGTGTCCACTTTTTTGTATTTTTCATATAAGTAAATGAATAAATAATATGAATTGAATAAAAACGGTCAGAATAGTACTGACACAGTAAAAATTAACTAAATAGACTCTTAGTTCTTGCTATAAAAAGGGTAGATGGTATGTGAATATATTTTTGGGATCCAGATATTATTATATTTACGTTCCGGGAGAAATGCTGCCTATTTTAAAAACTGACTCAATAAAACAATAATTATATCTTATTTTATATCTATCACAGTTTATACAGAAAATATAATATCGAAGATAGATATACTACATATATCTGAAATATTTACTCATAAAACACTGGCCGCTTTTTTGTAAATTAGATGGATATAATAATTGCAAAACTTCATATTTTTCTATAACTACGAGTTACAAGAACTAAGAGTTTTTGCTATCATAACATTATATTGCTAATAGTTTATTTTTTACTTTAATAACAAATCTATAAGGTGTATATATATATATATATATATATATATATATATATATATATATATATATATATATATATATCATTTAATAACTCTTTAATTAAAAAATACGCGCCACTAATTATTCAGCCAATAAAGCTAATCTAAATAATCTATATTGCACTTACTTTAAAACAAATGATTAAAATTATATTGTTTAGCGTATTCTCTAAGCTAGTTCTACTTATATCTACATTCTATATAAGTCTATAAATAACTATTACTATAGTTATCCACCTAAGATACAGGTAAGTAATTACTTGCTTTTATCTACATAGGTAAGTATTTATTTGGCATTTAGATTATGTCACAGTAACTTATGTTAAGTATCTTGTTAAGTAAGAATGGTCTCGTTTATATAAAAGCTACTAAATAATTTATTTCATCGAAACTTATTTAAAAGTTTAATTTTAATGTAATATATTTTGTATTCGTATAGTATAGATCCAAAGGATTATTTTGTAATGAAAAATCAACATAATACAGGTGCTTAATAAAGTGAAACTCGTCTAAATTAGATAATTTTTGCTTTATTCAATATAGGCATTTAGTAGACACATAAGTACAATGTAAACTAAAAGCAACTAGCGTCATTGCCTATAGGGTGAATTAGAGATCACCAGCATCCCTTTAAGGATAATCTAATGTAAACGTTTAGTTTAGGTAACTGAACATTTTTCTCCAAAGAAACACGAGTCGTAAAATGAACTTTACTAGTATAAAATACTAGTCAACAATTTAAATTTCATTACGTAATTTGATAAATTAATTATTAGCTCTATATAATATGAATAGTGTCAATAAGTAAGGTAAAATAGCGTGCATAGTGCAACCAAATGTGCATATCATGTATGCGTGTGTCATATACAGTACAATGTCTAGTGTACGTATAGGTATTTAGTAGTATACGTATAAATAGTACAATTTATTTTGGCCGAGATAGTTATTTATTTACACATTACATCTATATTATTTGAAGAATGATTTTCATCTATTAATTTAAAATATTGACACTAATAATCTTTTAACATGAAGAAGATAGCATTTTCGGTGGACAGTGATAAACTAGATCTTGATTTTTTGTATTTCGTATTTAATTAAAGTTCTCGTAAAGAAATAAGAATTGCTTGGCTGTTTGTTGTTGAGGAGGATTGTCTAGCTGTTCACTAAAAATGCTCACTGTCTGTCATGCCTTCTAGTTTGGGTAAGTATATTTTTAATTTTTAATTTACCCTTTGTTTCATGACTGTGTCGCGGTAGTCGTGGTGTGGGGGCGCCCTCATCGCTGGGTTGGGGTGGTGACGGAGGTAGCTCTCTGTGGGACCTGGTTCGCGACGGACCTTCGCGCCCGGCAACACCAGGGGCGTAGTACGGTATGGCTATAATACATAGTAAAATTTATTTAATATAATAAAATTACTTTAGGACTTAGGTACATAATATTTATTTATCGTGTTCTTTACACTGTGTTTACCTATAATGTAGTCATAAATTTGCAACTAAGTACCTACCTATTATAACTCAATGAAAATAATCGTAGTTAGAGATAGTTAATTATAAAAATCATAATGGGAGTCTTGCCAGTTGTTGTCACGGTTGGCAAGCGGGTTGACAACCGCAGTTTAGGCTTTTAGAGATGTTTTAAGAGACGACGCGGCGTTACATTTATACAGTATAAAATTAATAAGATACAATAAAATATATAATAGTCCAACATATAGAACTCCGTTTAACAAATTTTCTGAAACTGTTACTAAACCTGGGATTACGCATGTGAAACGTTAAAATATTGAGCTAATTTACAGCAGACAGAAATATTATAACGATGTCAGACTAATAAATAAAGACGTTTCAACAGAAACTTTTATTAGGTTTATAGAACATGCTACTATTAGCATGATTATAATTATAATAATTAGGTACCTATAATATAAATATGTATTAAATCTATTTCTATATACGTAAATATTATTTATATATAAAGATATTAACTTTAATAATAAAATAAATTTATTTTTGATATCGTTAACATTTACAGAGGACATTGTTTTGCAGTGGATTAATTCCAACATTTGGCCAGTATCAATCTCGGCAAGCAACATCAGCGTCGTATGCGCAACGCTTCTAAATTTACCCCGAGGTTGTTCCATGTGGGTTATGATTTCTGACACTATTCCTTTATATTTATACGGCCGTTGGACGATGTGGGTCGCGGTCAGCTTTGAAATTTATAAAATCACACTTGGACCGTAACATGTGCTTTGAAAAAGTAATTATGCGCGAAATAATTCGCAATAAAATAAACGCAGCTAAAATACGAGCGTTTCGGAGAAGGTCGCGTTTGTTATAAATGCAGCAGTACGATAGCGAAAAGGTTTTAAAAATTTGTTGGTATAGAATGAAAAGGACAAGCTAAGATGATTAAATATGCATAAAGAATAAACAGATAAAAAAGGCGGAAAAGGAAATTAAATTAATTTAAGACGCTATAAGGTAACAAACAAACAAGCTCACTTTCACATTTATGATATTAGTAAGATTTTATCATAAACAGATGGATTTTATATACTCCAAGGAAGAGATGGACACCCTCATTTATAAAAACTAAAACCTCCTACAAACTTATTTTAGTTATTGAGGTGTTTTGTCACTTTCTTTCAGATTGAGAATTTAGTGCAAAAGAAAAAGACAAAATAGTTCAAAAGCTAAAATAGATTTATGAGAGGGCTGATGTTTTTATGAACAAGGAAGTAAGAGTAGAGAGAGCTCTGAATGTGTTAGCTGACATTGCTATTCATTTCTCCAAAGTGTCGATATTTGATAGATATTTAACATTAGTATTAGAACGTGCCATTTACTTTAAAATTTCTTTAACATAGATAGATATTGTTTTGTAGCTGAAAAAAATACACTTTAATATTGACAAAATTATTGCCAATAATTAATACACAAGTATCTATTTTAATTTTAAAACGAATATAAGAAATAAATAGATAAATGATGACATTAATTTGTAGACAGTAAAGCAAGAACAACACAACAAACAGGATATAGGACCAACGCGGAAGTAAACAGTGTAGATAGCAAAAAGAACTTTATCAAAATATTATCAGAATTTGCGTATAATATGTATAATATTAGTACATAAACTCGAGTACGAGAAAATTAGACTAATAGAAATTATCCTATTTTTTATAAATCACTTAAAATCAATTCCAATCTTGTTGATTAAATGTTTGTTCGAAAACGTTTCAAGTAATATGAGAAAAATATGTCAGTAAAATTTTCCAATAAAAATATCATCATAAAAAATACAATAGAAATAAGAATATTTTTCTTTTTGAAGAAACACACACTAATGTGCAGTGGAATTGAAATTTCTTTTTTTTATAATATGAGAGATTTATAGGTAAAATGGAAATTATCACTAAACGGATCATGTTCTGAGGAATTGTTTGACATGATCGTATAGTAATTTCTATTACCAACGTCACCCCGCGCGCTACTTTACATTGGATTATAAATAGTTGTGTACGTACACACATGTATTTTGCAGTAACGGAGTATCTTCCCGCTAATGTTCAAATAGAAGATTAAGCTTAATGTCAAGGTTTTCTTAAAATATTACAGCATTGAGTTCTTCGACAAGGGTGCGAAAAGTTTGATGAAGGGCGAGTCAATGTTAAATACCTATGTAGTATGCCATCTCATAACATTTTAGCGAGCATCTACATGAGATCTCATAACATTTTAGCGAACAACGTGAAAACAATCAACGTAAAAAAGTATGCTGTATACCGCATACAGCATAGGTACTTTTTAATGTTTAATGTTTTGTAGAACTTTTACTGAAAACAACACTTGAGTCTTTTATTTTATAAAGACATTATTTTTACTTTATTAAATTAGATATAAATTTGTAAGAATATTTGGGTAATAATATTTATTTCTGATTTTGTACTTAAAAGTACGTGATAATTGGACCTTATTTTGCTTTCAGTTATCTTTTCTTATTAAATAAATTTTATTAAACGTATTTCTCTTTTTTTAAATAAATGTATCTATTTTTATGGCAAATAAAAAGTATATATTTTTATGGTTGTAAAAGAAAACAGATAAACAGAGAGATAGTTTAAAATTTTATAGTGCTAGAAAACATCTTCATTCACACCTAGCTAGCCGTAAAAGAAATTTGCTTTTACACTATAGTAAGCTACGTAAAGATTATGTTGGGAACGACTAACACAGTAGATTGCGTCATTGGCGAAAACTCCGTTCCTGTAAACAAGTACGCAAATAACGTTCAAGCTTGTTCGCCTATTGGCACATTTACTTCGACCATTACAATATATTTCTTGTTCCACAATATCATAGCACTTTATAGTGCATTTTATATTCTAGTTGTACCATGAGTCATTGCTGCCATGGAACAGAAAGGAACATTAAAATTTTATTACGCAAAACATCTTCAATCATGACAAAAATACAGAGTAATTGAGGACCTCATCTCTTTTTCATCGGTTTGAATCGTTTATAATCAATAGGCACGTCTTAGATAAAAACAATTTCTAAACACTTAGTTTTATTGTGTTATGTAACTGATTTTAACATACGTACATAATCTAACATCCTACATTTTCAAGAGAGGAAGGGCATGTTTAAATTTCTCGAAAACTGGGACTGCCCGACTGGCTAAGTGCCAAATATAACTACTTTCCGCCGATGTTTCGGTGGCAACAAGCACGTGTTACCATTGGTACTATCAGGCGTCCATAGATTGCATCTTTTTCACGGGATAAGCGGAATCCAATTCCGCTTTTGTGACATAACAAAAAAACAAAATCAAAATTATCAAATAAAATTTCTGCTAAGATTGGCAGTATAGGAAATTAACGTGGATAAAAATTTAGTAACTGAAAAAGGCTTTAAAATATAGTTCTAGAATAGTTCTAATTAAATTTGACAAATGAGCATTCGGCTCGCTAATTATATGCGATTACTGTAGCATAAGGACTTGCATGATACCTGAAGAATGTGACTGCAGAGAAGCTTTTTGAAATCTTTAATGTCTAGGGTAAACCTCAGTAGTGTAACAACAAATCTACTGACCTGAAACACCTATTAATATGCTTGTAGGTGGTGAGGTTTCCTGTTTTCACATGTTAATAATGTGAAATTTAATTTTGACTGTGTTTCAAAATAAACACGAGCTTATGTTTTATTGAGTATTTGGATAAGATAATCAGAGTCTGAGCAATGTGAGTTGTTCTTTCAGTATCATACCTCACATCTCATCAGCTACATAGCATATTCAAAGACAACTATTAGCTAAGTATATAACTATAAGCTTAGCATATTAAGCTTAAATAAGTCTTAGTTGTTGTGTTGCGTTATATATATAGTATTTTGCTTAGATCGAAATAGCAAAGTTTAATGTTTATGAACAACAAAGAATGAGATCTAAGTATATTACAAAAATATAGCTATACTAACGTCCCATTACTTCCAAATAATAGATAAAACTTGCACCAAACGACGAAATAAAGACTGGGCCATGATGTATACATTGCTATTGTTAAGTAATGTTTGTAACCTAGCTCTAAATATTATGCATATAAAATGCCAAATGTATCACCCAGTAAAAGTATCCTAGGTATATATTAATTCAGGATATTGTCCATTTGCGCAGTGTGCTAACTTTTAATTTAAATTCGTTCAGGTATTTAAGAGTTTACAATTTTATACATCTGAAATTTAAATAAACGTGCAGTAACCTTCTGAGGAATCAAAATTAAGGTCTTGGTTACGCTTTTAATTTATATATCTGTTGTTCTATAGTATTTCTCCATTTTTATTATTTTATGATACGCAGTTTTTTTTGTATAAAGTACATATATTAGACGTTACAGGTAAAATATTTTCAAATGACTCGCTTAAATTAATCATACTACCATTTGACCAGTTACCGCCTTCATTTATTATATGTTTATTGTATATTTATTTGTGTTATGAAATAGCAATACATTAAATATTGAAGTCAAATGAACGAACGAATGAAGAGGCATAAGATTTTAATATCGACAAAGCATGAATAATAGCAGTGATAGTATGAGTATTAGTTTAACCTTTGTAATCCCTAGTGACGTTGCATCTAAAGGTGAAGGTAATGCAAATGTGCAGCTTCTAGGTAAATAAAAACTCTTAGGAGTTTACAGTAGGTATTTATCCATCGATAACGTTCGCTGACACAGTAAGAGCTAATACATGTATAACGACAAAAGGTTGCTTTTAATCCTTACTCTGTAACTTCAACTGTTTTCGCTAGTCCAAATGTTTATAAAGGGTAACTTTGGTTCTGGCAGGTGTTAGTAATATCATG